AGTGCAACCTGGTAGTCTTTGCTTAAAATTTTAGTTGGTTGTTTTATATTTTATGTTTTACTTTGTGTTCAAGCCTCTTAGTAATTCAGATTTTACACGTGTTAAAAGGCAGTAAAGCTAATTGACTTTGTATTAACTTTATAGGGAATTCTCAGAGTTTGGCGAGAACTTTTTGCATATATATTTAAAGTTTAGACTAGGGTTTAGTTTAGGGAGAGGGACGATCGGGTTTGTGGTAACTTCTCCAACAGAGTTTAAAATGCTACATACGTGTGAGTTCAAAGTGACCTGTGAGGGGATTTCTTGCTTTACTTTTCCGGTTTAAGCAAGTCTCAAAGCGCGGTACTGGCCAGACAAATGTACGGAAGCCCTGAACGGCAAACAAAACAAAAAAAAACAAAAAAAGTGGCACGTCGTTTGGGCTCATTTTTCTGGTTTGAGTAGTCTTTTTGTTTGTTTTTCTGGACCCCATAGAACAGTTTTTTGTTTTTTTTTTTTCCACCTTTGCCATGCGGGGCTTCCGTACAAAGTTTCAGTCAACAATTTAGAATAAAATCTAACCCTAGGACACTATGCTTCTATAGCTGGTCGACTGTGTGGTGTGGAGCTGGTGGGCCTGTGGTTTTGGAGCTGGATTTGGTGGGTCTTTGCGGTTTTGGATTTGGTGGGTCTTTGCGGTGAGGAGGCTGAGGGTGTGCACAGGAGGAGTGGAGTTGACATGCCAATTATTTGTTTTTTTAGCACTTCTGATCATGATCACGGTCTAAAAAATGTTTCACGGACTAACGCTGACAAAAAGGAGTATCTCGTTTTTTTTTTTATATTTTTGTTGCAATGATTTTTTAATGATATTTTGACAATTGAACAGAAATAAATGCGCTAAAACACGTTTTTAAAAGTATAAATTTTCCGACATGCCGCTATTTAGACACTGACGTCTAATAATGACGTTGGAATAGTGGTATAAACATTACTTCGACTTTTTTTTTTCATTGTTGGAGTAACGGCGCTTCACTATTTTCCAAACATTTCGCTTTTCCAACATGAATAATTTAAAAAATTTAAAAACGAGCATAGGCCAGCCTGCGGGAAAATATCTAATCTAAAACAGAGGCTGCATGTGAGCTTTGTGAATCATTCTTTTCGGAATAGCGATACTAAAAAGTGTCGGAAAACCTGCACGTCTAAATAGAAACATGTCGGAACAGGCGACGGATCCCAAATTTTAAACCTCTTTTTTGTATAATGTGCAAAATACCAGATACCCAAATTATTTTTATTAGCTTATAACTATTACTTGCGGAAAAGGACGCAAATTAAATGACAGAATGTTTTTTTTTTCTTCTTTTTAGGAATCTGTGTAAAGAAAACTCATAAGCGTGTAATGAAAAAGCTTGTTTTAGTTGTAAAAAACGAAAAAAAAAAAAAAAAAAAAGGAATGTAAATCGGATGAGAACTGAGCTCCAGTAATGTTTCGCTCATATGCTACTGTTACAAAGACGAACACAGATTTCTGATGCTACATACGGTCGAACGACGAATGTTTTTGTGATGATGTGAAAATGTCTGCAGTAGAGTTAGTCCCACAGACCGCTGTGCACACCACCTCCACGTGATACGCCTGCACTTCACTGTAAAGTCTGCGCGAAAACTGTACATTTAGTGTGTCCTCGTCGTCGTTTATCAGTGTAGAATATAAAACTAGCTTTCTGCTGAGTATGAACAAACATAAATAGGGATTGCTTAAGGAAAAATACAAAAAAAAATAATTGCACAATAAGAATAAACCCTGTATTCACGTGAGCTACTAAACCTGCCTGAGCCTACGGGGCCGGCAGACTTAAGATGACTGAAACAGGACAACAATAACAACAACAGTGTTACAGTAGAGTATAGGAATATATCTGTAGAATCTAGAATCTTAATTATACAAACAAGTGTCACATTACAGATGAGAGAAAACACTTAGGCAGGTCCATTAACATAGACAATAACATGTGAGTATATGAGCGGCCCCGCTGCCAAGGCCCGGCGTTATAATAAAGTACAAGTTCAGCTTTAAAATGTGACTATGAAAATACAAGGTGTCGGCACAAAGTCTACGCGTTGTGCGACCGTGCACTGCCTATAAAACCCGCGCTCATTTACAACGCTTCACGCCAGACTTTCGGAAAAAAAAAAAAAAAAAAAAACAGAAAACGCTACAGATATCTTCCATTTTGCTACTCGGTTAATCGCCTAAACCACGTATACGTTTATATTTTTTATGTTTTCGGTTCTTTATCTTTAAATAGATTTAAATATACAACAATTTGGGTCTGAACTCAAGTTGTTTGGGCCGTCGTCTGGTTCGTATAGGCACAGTGTCTATTGAGATATAGGTAGTTTAAGTCATAATGCACAAAAATAGATAGATGGTGCATAGATCTTGTACTAGGGATAATCTTGTATAGGATTCCCTGAAGTGGAAAGTTGACCTAGTGTGCGTGAGTGTGTGTATGTGCGTGTACGTGTGTGTATTAAGGCAGGTTTTATATATACAAACCGCAGTAAATGCTCAAACTGCACTGGACACAAAGGGATATCATGAGTTAAAATGACGTGAATTCAGAATATTTTTGTATTTTACTTTCGCTCGTCCTCGTTTTGTTCTGTTTTTACTTCTTGGAGGTCCTAAAGTAGAAAAAGTTTCAGAAAATGTGATCATCCGGACAGTGTTTAAGGAGAATTATGTGATTAAATTAAGTTAAAGCCAGTACTGAGCCATAACAACAACGGCAGTTTCGCTTTTAACTCCTAGTTTAGGGCAGGTTAACGGGATCTGTTCACGCTCACGTCACAAAACCGTAAAAAAAGACGTTTGGAAACATGCGGGTGACGACTTTCTTTGGGCTCTGTTGGCGATAGTAACTCTGGAAAACTGAGAAAATGTTGCGTTGTGTTGTTTTCTTCATTCTTTTCTTCGTTTTTTTCATTGTATTCTTTCTTTTTTTTTCTTTTATAAATTATCTATTCATTTGTCTAATCTAAATTTAAAAAAAGTTCCAAACAGTTGTCTGTAAGCGACATCGTAGACGTGATTTGAGTCCAATTCCCCGTGGAAAGCTTCAGCAGGTTGTGAAAACGCTGCTGCTGAATCCACGGTTTTATCACCTCGATGCGATACATATTTCGACACAGTGAACTTTCGAGTCAATACAATATGTTTTGAATCGATTCGATACGGTTCAATAAAAATAATCACGTTTAAATCATGTCTGTGATACTAAAAGTCTTTGTTAAACCACTTTTTGTACAAAGTTTATATAAAACATGCCCATTTTAATCATCAAAACAGTGAAAATGTCAAATGTGTCGCATAAACGAGAAAAAAAAGCAACAAAACTGAAGCTGTAACAAAATAATTTAGTGAAATAAACCAAAAAAATACTCTTGGCGATATATCGATACAGCAGCCCAGGATATCGATACTATTAAACGACATGATATATCGATATTTCTATATTTTTGCACATCCCTAATGCCCAGTGTTGGTAACTACACGGGAAGTCGTCATCCGTGTGTTTCCAAATGTTTTTCCGTAAGCGTGAAAAGAGTCTAGACCAACTTCTCTGATCATTTTTTTCTGCACTGCAAAATCTAAAATCCAGCCAAGTTCAGATCGTTTGAATTAAAGTTTTATCGCGATTTGAGTAAATTTCACATCAAAAGTAAAATTATCTACCAGTGGAAGACTTTTTGTGCGTAAAATATGAAAATACACAACTCTTTGCACTTAAAATAAAACGAAATCGAATGTTGCTTGAATTAAGAAAAACACATTTACTTTCATTCGTAGATAATTTTTTAAATGTTGAATCTACTTCAAATAAAGTCAAACGTTCTTAATTTAAGTCATTTTAACTCACCTAAATATTGTGTTTTTGCTGTCTGGTTGGAAGTCCAAACATTTCCAAAAACAGTGTCCAGGTGACCTTCGAAACCTTTTCTAATTCAGACCCTTTCTGGACAAAAGAGGGAACACGCCGACTTTTTACGTAGTATTTTTTCCAGATATAGGAATTTAAGAGAAATACACAAAAAATATGCCAAATGATTGAGGGTTTTCAGCTCTACTAATCAGTTCAAACGGTTGGATTCGATGTTCTGAGGTCATTTCAGTGAAAGTGCATATCCCTTTCTGCGGTGGACTGTGGCGGCGGCGCTGCTCGCTCAGTCCCGATGTGCCCCCGTGATCCCAGAGCAGTGGTCCTTCCTGGTGCGGTCACGCCCTGGAGCTCCATATGTGGTTTGTCCAGCAGGGCGGAGGGGCTGGGGCGGAGGAGGAGGGGGGGCGGAGGGGCTGGGGCGGAGGAGGAGGGGCTGGGGCGGAGGAGGAGGCGGGGCGGAGGGGCTGGAGCGAGCGGAAGAGGGAGAGTGGAAGTGCTGGGGCGAGAGGTGATGCCCGGGATTGGGGTTCTCGGGGGTGATCTTTGTGGTCCCAGGGCGGAGGAGGCAGGGGGTTAGGGTGGTGCCCGGGGTGGGAGGGTGGTGAGGCAGAAGGGGGCTGGGGTGGTGCCCCTGGTGGAGGAGGATGGGGCTGGGAAGGCGGGCGCTTTATGTCGTCCCGAGGCGGAGGAGGCGGGAGTGACGATGTCTGGGGTGGGGCTCCGGTTGGTGCCCTGGGACTGGGTGGGGTTCTGGGTGGGGTTGTGGCAGAAGGTTCAGAGTAGATTAGGCAAGGTGGGGCTGGGGCTGTAGGTGGGGCTGTAGGCGGGGCTTTGGGTGGTGCAGGGAGGAGGTTGGGTGGGGCTGTGGGCGGAGCTGTGGGCGGCGCAGTGGTGCAGGGAGGAGGTTGGGTGGGACTGTAGGTGGGGCTGTGGGTGGGGCTGTAGGTGGGGCTGTAGGTGGGGCTGTGGGCGGGCTGTGGGCGGGGCTGTGGGCGGGGCTGTGGGCGGGGCTGTGGTGCAGGGCTTTAGGTGGTGGCCTGGTCCAGCGCTCGGAGCAGGTCGCAGCCCTGCAGCAGGTGCAGGTTCCCCTGGAGGGGCACGTTCACCTCACAGTCGTAGCGGGTGAGCTCGGGCAGGTAGGCGGAGTCAAAGGAGGGTCCCAGCAGACGCGTGGCTAAACCTGCACACAAGACAACAACACGGGATTTGACCTGTAACACATGATTTAAAACACCGGAGAACTCGAAAATGTGGCCTTTTTATAGAATTTATTATTATCATTTATATTTTTCCTCTTTGTTATTATATTATATTGTGATGTGTGAGTCGAAATAATCATATTCATTTATCAATCCATCTCCTACTTGGATCTCAGATACAATATCACATTCACGCTTCAACTGTTTTATTATGTTTCGTTTGTTCGACTTGGAGAAAAACGTGGACGCTAAATCAGAAAGCTGTTGTTGGCCGAGTACCAGCTCCCCAAAATAAGTCTGTGCTTCAACTACACAACCTCGAAGAAAAATTCAGTTTAACCCTCAGGTTCTCCTCGGGGTCACACAGACCCAATCATTTATTTATTTTCTCGCCAGGTGAGAAAATAAATATCTGGGTCTGACTGACCCGCCCCAAGAGAGCGGGAAGGAAAAACAATGTTTCTTTGGGTCTGTGTGACCCCGAGGAAAACCTGAGGGTTTTAAGTTGTATAATTCAGTATTAGAGAAGTGAAAGTGTTGGTGTCGTGTGTTAGTCGATTATTTTAGGACGTTAACAGAACAAGGGCTAAAAACATGGACGACACCAACTACCAGACACACAGGTAGTAATACAGACGCAGTAAAGTACTGCAGTAATACAGACGCAGTAAAGTACTGCAGTAATACAGACGCAGTAAAGTACTGCAGTAATACAGACGCAGTAAAGTACTACAGTAATACAGTAAAGTACTGCAGTAATACAGACGCAGTAAAGTACTGCAGTAATACAGACGCAGTAAAGTACTGCAGTAATACAGACGCAGTAAAGTACTGCAGTAATACAGACGCAGTAAAGTACTGCAGTGATACAGACGCAGTAAAGTAATACAGACGCAGTAAAGTACTGCAGTAATACAGACGCAGTAAAGTACTACAGTAATACAGACGCAGTACAGACGCAGTAAAGTACTACAGTAATACAGACGCAGTAAAGTACTACGCAGTAATACAGACGCAGTAAAGTACTGCAGTAATACAGACGCAGTAAAGTACTGCAGTAATACAGACACAGTAAAGTACTACAGTAATACAGACGCAGTAAAGTTTTGCAGTAATACAGACGCAGTAAAGTACTGCAGTAATACAGACGCAGTAAAGTACTGCAGTGATACAGACGCAGTAAAGTGTGTTTTTTCAGTTTCCTGCTCTCACCTTGGGTCTTGGTACTGGGGGACATGCTGTAGTGGAAGTGGCTCTTGAGGGCGCTGGCTGTACTCCCGGGATACTGGGACTTTCCGGTGCTGCTGTATGGAGTCTCCACTGTGGGGCCGTCCGTCTGGAGCCCTCCTGCACAGCTCTGGGTCTGACACACAAGCACGTCACACAAACTTAAACTTTAGACAAACACTACCACGACAAAGTGAGTCCAACCTTCTAAGTGGTATGGAGTATGACGGCCATTAACGGTTAGAGCTGCAAAGTTTTGATATGACGATCTTTGCTGATTTAGACTAGACCAAGAGTCGTCAACCTTAAATACTCAAAGAGCCTTTTGAAGCGTCTCCCACAGAAAAGAAAACGCACAGATTCACAAAACCCTCTTGACTCTAAAATGAGGAGAACAACGCAGATCCTTGTTTTGCATTTATGAAATCAAAAAAATGCTACAGAGAACATGGAATTTTATTTCTGGATGTAACAAAAACATTTTGAACTTGAATGCTTAATTTCAAATGAACTACTCAATGTCTATTCCTGCAGGAAATAAAAATCCAAACCAAAATTATCCATCTGCAGCAAACCAAAAATGCATCTGCTTCTGTATTTTGTAGTCATTTTACTCAATAAATCATGTTTCTGGTGCAGGTAAGTCCGGGCTGCAGATCTGTGCCGGAGAGTCGCACATCAGAGGTTTTGTCGCATATTTTGAGCATCAAAAATATTTAAAACGTTTTATTTGAATGTTACAAGATTACCATTATCTACAAATTTAGACTTATATTTAAAACAAACAAAAAATGAAAATAAATTGTGATTAAATACCTTATTCTCCGGGCTATTAGTCGCTCTGGATTATAAGACGCACTGTCATTAAATGGTCTATTTTCTAACTTTTTTCACAAATAAACGGCGTGGGACTTTAAATGAAACCCAACAGTGTGATGGGTGAGTGGTTTTGTTTGTTTGTTCGTTCACGGTGACTCTGGGCTTTGTTCAGTTGTGGCGTGTAGGGAGGGTGTGTCTGGGACCAGCGGATTGTCGGCGTGTTCGCAGTGACTCAGTTGTTCAGTCGTGTCTAGAAGCGGCACGTCGCGCTCGCTTTTTTCGGTTCGTTCCTCTGTTCCGTTCCTCGTCGGCGTGGAGTGATGAGTGTGTGTGTGGGTGTGTTTCGCTGTGCGGTCGCTGTCTGCTCCGTGTGTGTTTGTAGCTTTATAGTTTACTGAAGTCGTGCTGGGACACCCGAGTGGATTCGTGTGTGGGGCGCTCTGGATTGTGGCGTGCGGTCGTTTTTTGATGGGGTTAGAGGCTTAAGAGCGCGTCTAATAGCCCGGAAAATACGGTACTTATTATGTATTTTCCAAAGTCACAGGGAGCCACAACAGAAGGATGAAAGAGCCGCATGTGGCTCTGGAGCCGTAGGTTGTCGACCCTCGTGTCTGCTGTTCTTACCTGAGAGAGCGCTGGTGCTCAGGGAACGATCCAGAGCTCCACTCAGCTCCCCCCTCATCCTCTTCCACACTCCCTCTGACGCTTTACACTGGCCCTGAAACACACAAACACACACACAAACACACAGGTGAGCAGGAGAGACACTACCCGCCGTGTACGGACGGAGAGAACAAAACACTGACCACGTCCATCTGGGTGTAGGCGCGTTTGCTGCTGTGGGTCAGGGGCATTCTGACTGGACTCATGTCTCTGTAGGCTCGTCCAAAACTCTCACTGGACCTGAACACAACACCACAACACAAAACAGAACGGACGTCAACGTGTGATACGGCGTGTGTGAGTGCACAGTGTGAATTGTTCCTTTTTTTGACATTTCCTTTTTTTTTGTTTTGAGTATTGTGGAACTTTCGGTTAATGGTTTTCTGTGTCAAAATGTGTGTGTAAATGTGTGTCGTTTTCTCCAGCAGCTTCATAAATCTGCCCCATCACCAAATCTTCAACCAACAAACTCCACAAAGGATAAACATTCTAACATGAACAATTTATCCACAACTGTCAAGAGAAGAAAGACCAAAACTGAAAGGATATAAGGTGCATTGTCATTGAATGTTTTTTTTTTTGGACTTTTTTCACATATAAACCGCGCTGGACTATAAGGCGCATTAAACCAAGCACAACAGTTCGATAAGTCGGTTCAAACTTTATTTAACGTGTTCACAATAACTCTCAACTTTGTTCAATTGTAACGCGTAAAAAAAAAACTGTCTGAGACGCTAAATTGTTTTCGTATTCACAATAAGTCATAATAGTTGAAACAGTTGGGTGATTCCGGCGTCCACACGTCCACATCCGTCTGTCATGATCCGAGTCAGTGTGGTTCCTGTTCCCTGGAGTTCAGTTCAGTGATGAATGTAAGTGGCTCGGCGCCGTCTCTCTGTCTTATAACAGTCTTGAGTTTAAAGTGGGCGTTATGAGCTTGTCTCTCGACAGGTGCATTTCGATATTAAAAGGAATCACAGTCTGTATTATTCCTGATGCTCCTGATGACGGGAGCCGTAACGCTGCAAGTGGAGCGGCTTTGTAGTTTACTAAAGTCGTACTAAGACACACGAATAAATTCATAGGCAGACGCTTTTTGGATGAGACTAAAGGCTTTTAAGTGCAACCTATAGTGCGGAAAGTACGGTATGCTAATATCGACATCATGAAACCAATTTTTTATTTTAATTCTAGAATCAGTCAAGTTACTTCTGTTTTATTCATGACCATAACATTAGTTTTGTTCAGTGTGTCACTAATGCGTCGTCGTCGTTTCCTTTCAGTTTTGGTCTTTCTTCTCTTGACAGTTGTGGATAAATTGTTCATGTTAGAATGTTTATCCTTTGTGGAGTTTGTTGGTTGAAGATTTGGTGATGGGGCAGATTTATGAAGCTGCTGGAGAATACACACATTTACACACACATTTACACATTTACACACACATTTACACACACATTTACACATTTACACACACATTTTGCCACAGAAAAACATTAACCAGAAGTTCCACAAACCTACATCGAGACACTTCCGTCCGTTGTGAAAAAGCTCTATGACACAGTTAGTTTTGTGTGTACGTGTGCGGTGACTGACCCTTTGAGCATGTGTGGGGGTCCGTGCTGCAGATACGCCGGCCGCTCCTCGTCTGCGTCCAGCCCGAAGCCTTTACTGCCCCCCAGTGGCGAGGCCCGGCGCTGGTACGTTAACAGCGGGTCTGGCGGCCACTGCAGATTCTGCCTGCCGCCCAAAGAGGACAGCGGGGCGCAGGGGGGCGCCTGGTACTGCGAGGGCGGCACGTGTCCCAGCATGTAGGCCCTGGCCCGGGACTCCACGGTCTCCTGGGGGGGGCCTCTCTTCTCCCCCGGGGCCCAGGAGGCGGAGGGGGGCGGCGGGGCCCTGTAGCGGCTCTGGGGCGGGGCGGCGGGGGTCAGGGGCTGGAAGAGGCCGGCGATGTCGCTGAAGCTGGGCTGGCGGGGAGGGGGCAGGGGCGGGCCGCTGCACCCCTCCGGCTCGGGCACGATGGGCATCAGCTGGAAGTCCTCGCCGTCCATGGGGATGTAGGGCGCCAGGGTCTCCAGGTCCAGGTCACTCAGGTCCCTCTGCGCTCACGCAAAACAAATCACAAAACAAATCACATGACTGGGGTCTTTAAAGGTCCTCTACTACAAAAAACAGAATCATGTGAGCTTTAAAGGTTCATTGTGTAACTTTTCTGTGTGTGGAGAGACCGTCAAACACTTTTCTCACTGGAGATGCTACCGTTTTGCCAGACCAGACCAGGTTAAAGGTCAGATCTGTGAAGAGGCGACCCCGCTCACCGTCAGAATGTCTGTTTTTCTAGGTATTTTGGAGCTATAAACCCACCTGTAATCAGTGTTGGGAAGTTTACTTTTAAAATGTAATCCCCTACAGATTACAGATTACACACACCAGAATGTAGTTTGTAACAGTAAATTACTTGTAATCTGAATACTTTGGATTACTTGATTTTCTGTAGAGAAGCAAAGACTCGGAAATCTCCACATAAGATGTTTTATCTGATAAAAGAAAATTGTCAGAATAATTTTATTATCCCATATTTGCTAAATACTTGTGTGATATTCTAGGCCTATGAGTTAACCATTTATGTACTACAATTCTTTGATTTATAATGTACCAATCACTTGTATGAATATGAATAACCTCTGTGTGTTTGACAACTGTGTGCAGTGTCCTGTCGCTCTAGTGAACCTCCAGATGATTCCTCACATGAAGCCAACTCCCACTGTCACACATGAAGAGTTATGATGCTGTCTGACCTAAGGCACCTCCTGATTGTTAATCATGTTTTATGTGTTTGTACTATGCATAGCTTCATCAGTTTCTTATTATGTCTTTGCTGTTTCCCCTTGAGAATTATCTTTCTGTAACTAGGGCCTCCTAATGAAATAAAAAGAGGAGAACGGCCTTGAGTCATCAGAACGTGTGGAGACTGTTGGTTTTGATGCCCACTCTCTGCCCGTTCTCCTCGCGAGTAAAACTGAATTAACCTCTTGTCTTTCTTCTTGTTTTTAATGTTTAGATAAACCTAACAAAAATAAAAAGTCCAGACTTTACTGAACCAAATTAAAAATATTATTGATAGAAGACGAGGAGATACGGTCCGCATGGCCTGATTTAGTCCTGTTAAATCCTGTTTTACACCTGGTTTTAGACCTGATTTAGTCCTGGTTCAGACCTGGTTTAGACCTGGTTTAGTGTCCGGCAATGAGTGGAATTAAGAAAAAAAAGGGGGGGGTTTAGCCCAAAATGTGAAAACAGTAAAATCCCTCTGTGTAATCCACTTATTTTAATAAAGTAACTGTAATCCAATTCCCACTCACTGAAACAGTAACTGTAACTGAATACAGTTACTCATCATTTGTACTCTGATTACATAACTCTGGTACATGTAATCTGTTACTCCCCAACACTGCCTGTAATTGAATAAATGTAACATAGAACTGTTTAATGTCACACTGTGGAACATTCCAGACAGAGCAGCGACATCTCCATGGAAACACAACCAAAAAGTTACACCGTGCACCTTTAATGTTTATTGCTCACAACAAAGCTTCTTCTACAAGTAAAGTTTAAAATAAAAGTCACTATATCCTCCACCAGCAGAGGGAGCTGTTGTGTAGGAAATAACTGAACTGAACTGGATCATAAACACATAAACATGAAAGTGAAACTTAAAGTACAACCACAAGTACAACTCCAGATATTACTGCAAAAAAGAATCAAGGATAATTAAAATTACTTAAATAATAATGATACAAATATAGATTTTCATTACATTATGACTTATTCTGACGTATCTCTGGCTTGTTTCACAGCATTTCCTGATTATTTCAAAGTGTCTGTTTATCTGTCTAGATATTGTTACTGTGAGGGGGGTTGCCTCTCCACAGATCTGACCTGTAACTTGACTACGTTCACCTGCTTGTTTCCATGGAGACAGAGAAGTTTATATATGTTATTAGAACGCCACACTGGCCACGTTTACATGATGTTTTTAATACCGAATTCATTGTTCTGAATTAAAATATTCTTCGAGTTCAGATGGAAAAATAATAATTCTGAATTGAGGTTTACATGGAAAACTCGTTAAATTGTCTTTATTTAATTCTGCTCAGCGTCTGGGGGTGGGGAAGTGTTCTGATTGGACAGAGACACCAATGCATTTACATCGACTCGGTTTGTCGTTACTCCACAGATACAAACATGATCTAAACTTTTTTTGTCAGTTGTTCTGACAGGAGAATTGTCTCATCACGCTTTACGTCTGTGAGGTGAGGAGGAGAAGGGAAGAGTGTCGGAGAAGGAGGAAGAAGACAAAGTGAGTGTGACGCTGCTCTACCTCCGCCCACATCCCGCTCGCAAATCCAAAGAGACGTGGATCAAAGTCCGAAGCCACGACTGATGGAGCCGGATCGTCCGGATCATCGCGTCAGAAAGGCGACACAACGAGCATGCGCCGAATGACCCACATTATTTTTAACAAGAATAAATGTTTACATGATCCAAGAATAAATTAATTCACCCTTAAAATCCAAATAAACCACCCACTTACTTCAGAATTAAGTTTAATTTAGAATAATCATTTTCATCAGGAATTCAGTGTTTACTGACTGGACTTTTTAAAGTGGAATTCATTTTTATTCAAAATTAAAGCTCTCATGTAAACTGCACCGCATGATTTTCTCTCACATTGAAAACTGTATTACAAACTGGTCACTGACAAGCATCACAACCTTCAAAATAATAGAATCACTTTTTTAAAAAAGATATTTGATAGGAAATTTTTATCGTTTCATCATTGTTTCATACGACAAAAGTATAATATCTTAAGTTTTGGAAATTTTCAAAGATTTAAACTCGCCTGCTCAGTTTACAAAGTCTTAAATGGACTCGCTCCACCTCCTCTGGGTGAGTTCATGAAGCCCAAGTCCAGCTCTAGTGGTCGAGTAACAAGAGCCTGTACCAGAGACGACTGTGCAAAACCCTGTAGACGAACAACTTTCAGTCAACAGGTCTGATCAGTCAAGGAATAGAAATCTGGACCAACATCCAGCTGCTGTAAGAGACTCCACCACATTCAGTTCATTTAAAACTAAACTGAAACGACGGCTTAAGAGAAACCAGATCTGTAACCACTAATGTTCTGCTCCTGTGTAAATGTCAGTGTTGTGTGTTTGTCTATTGTGACGTGTTTTATGTTCTTATGTCTTATGTCTCTGTCTCTCTGAGCTGCCAGGGACGACAGATGAAAAGTCGCCTTCAGTCTAATTCTGGCGTATTTACAAGTGGATGTTCATGAATATGCACTGTCCCTTTTAAATAAATAAAACTTAAAAAAAAAACTAAACGTGGCAGCGGTCTCTCCACAGTGAAAAGCCGGTGGTGTCTAAAAAAGTTTGTGATCATCTGGACGTCAGTTTCGCAAAAGGAGAAATTCAAATTGTCAACTGGATACAAGTTTATTTTAGTTGAAGACGTTTCTCAGCTCATCCAAGCTGCTTCTTTTATTCTGGTCTCGACCAAAACTGAAGAAGCAGCTGAAGAATAAACTATTGTCCAGCTGACAAATTGAATTTCTTCTTTCCTGGACGACTGAGAGATTTTACACACATTTTGAGAACAGAGACGTCAGTTTGTGAGTCAGCTCTGCCCCCTGGTGGCCGCTGCTGGTCTTACCTGGCTCTTGCTCTCAGCGCCCTCAGTGTCCAGAGCAAACAGCTTCTCCGTGAGCTCCACCTTCAGCTCGTTCTCCACGGAGCTGTAGTAATCATCCGGACTGCTGGGCTGCACGGTCCAAGCACAAGGTAAAGGTTATAAATGTGTTAAAGGTCAAACAGCAAAAAAACAAGTGAACCTGAGAAACCTGAGAAACCATTAAGTGTCATGAACTGAGACCACAGCCTGAGCAAACAGGAGGACAGAGCGAGTGTGACGTCACCCGCAACGTTCAGCTCCAGGTGAAGCTCACAGGGGCAAATTTGGAGCCAGGTCCATATGAGATAACAAACGAAATAAAACAATCAAAATATAAACAGCGGGATCAAGCAGAGCGGGTTAATACCAATATTTTAAGACCAAAATGACGAGGCTCAAAGCAGCAGGTACAGAGAGAAGAACAAATATTCTAATGTAAATCAAAGGGAGCTGGGGTCAGAAGTTAAATTAGGGATGGGCGTTCGATTCAATTTTCTTAATCGATCATCGGGAGAATTAACAATTGATTTTTGATTAATCATTACAAATTTTATATTTAAATTATCATAATTAATTATTATGACTATTACTAATCTGCATAAATAAATTCAACTTTACAACATATAAACATAAACACTCTAGATCCACATCAGCTCATTTGACATTATCATGTGTTTAATGCAGATTTGACACATTTATGTTTTACACAAACTAAACTTAAACCCACATGACTCATTTGCATAAAATAATCGCTTTGATAAAAACAGTTCTTTCCTTGTGCTGCTGATGTGGTTCAGTTTCTGTCGGACTAAAGGACACGACTCAGTGGAATATGAGTGTTCTCTCTGTGACAGAGGATGATGATGATGATGATGATGATGATGATGATGATGTTGATGATGATGATGATGATGATGGTGAGTGTGTTCTGTGTGTGTGTCGTGTTGGAGATGGTTCATGTTTTCAGAGATCAGACGTGTGCAGGTTTAGTGCAGCTCTTTATTTAACATCATTTCACTTTATTTACGTCGCTCACTTTATTTATTTTGCTTATGTTGTGAGGAAAAGACTTTTGGACACATCTGACTCAGCTTTATGTTGCAGTGACCGGGACACCGCGTTTACATGCACCATAACGAAACCGGGACACTCAAAAAATCATCCCCGCGACGCTGATGTGATGTAAACACACTCACTTAGGCGATGTTCAGACTGCAGCCTGAAGTGACCCAAATCCAATTTTTTGGCCCCTATGTGACCCGTATCTGATCTTTTAATGATCGTCTGAACGACACAGATGCGGTTGACGTCGTCGTGTCTCCAGTGTCACATGCGGGACACTTTTGGGCCGTTTAATGTTCACACTGGAGATCACATATAAGTCGGATTTCACAAAAAAATCCGAATTGAGCGTTAAGCCCTGCAGTCTGAACGTAGCCTTAGTGGAACAGTGTCTCTAAGGAGCCAGAGCCCGAACGTGGGACTGTGAGACAAAACTCCAGTGTTTGTGTCAGACGCAGACTCGTCTCTTTACACTACGCGACGTACAGCAACATACATTCAGTTGACCAGTTCAATTATCAATTAGTCGACAAATCATGCCCATCCTTTGCCCATATCCACTTATATAAACAGTTTTTGACTGAGACTGACATATTTTAGGTTTACTGCCAAACGACTCTGGTCACCCAAAGTGAGGAGCTCGTTCAGCTTCCTGGATAATTACACAAATACACAAAACGTAAAACCATTTTTAGATCATAAAAAATGTAATATCTCCAATGTGATGTTTCAAAGAGTCAAAATTAAGATCAGTTCGGTGTTTTCAGTTGAACAGTACAGCAGGTCCTGGGTAAAGACTTTTATTTGTGCTAAATGAAACTGATGTCTGTCTTATTTATAATGAGAGACAATATGATTTTCTGAGCATAAAGTAATTTAAAGTATAAATCATTATGTTTTGAAAGATATACAGCTCTGGAATGAATGAATTATGCATTAAATTTGGTTTGTTTTAATTTATATTTTGTCTCTTATACAAACAGTAAATCATAAGTGAAATTGTAAACATAAACTTGCTGTTCCTACGCCGCTTTTCTTTCTTGGAATTCTGTCATTGTTTAACAGAGTCTGGCTTATAAGTCACTTTTTACTTCAGTATAAACACTTTAGGTCATGATCCACGGGGTTGTAGTCTATAGTTTGTTTTGTTTTGTTTTGTAGAGCTGCAAAATGACGCGTAGGAACGGGGCATTTTTACTTTTGGAGATGCAAACAGACGAATAATTCAGTGTTTCTCCAATAAGTGTGAATGAAACGAAACACAACTCCGGGTGCGTTTTTGAGGAGGGAACAACATTCTAACACGGCTTGAAGCTCACAAGAGTCAATCCCACGTAATCTAGGACCTTTAAAGCTCACAGGAGTCCAGTCTGATCCAATCTTGACCCTTTAACGAGTTCATTTTGACCCTTTAACGAGTTCATTTTGACCCTTTAACCCGATTGCAGGTGGAGTTGTGTGTGTGGCTCTCACCGTGGAGCAGCTGCTGAGGCTCGGGGTGGCGCTGCCTGGAGACGGGTGCTGCTGGATGGTGAAGGGGGTCATGTCCGCGGGGCCGGAGGGGGCAGAGGGGGCGGACGGGGCAGAGGGGGCGGGGCTCTGGGACGACGGGACGGGTTTGTGGTTCTCGCTGCTCCAGGACGAAGGGCCTTCGGACGACTGCGGCTCGTCTGAATAAGAACAACCTGAAGATCATGAGAACAAGTTCAGGTCTGATCCACGGCAAAAGAAACATGTAGAATCTAAAAACATGAAAGAACATGCAAACTCCACACACGGGGGGAGTTCTACATGTATATCTACTGGCGGAATATTCAACAGTTACCATGGTGACGCAATGCACACATTATCAAAAACTGCCAAATAACTTTTAGAAGAGAAAGTTTTTAGGAAAAAAAAGTTTTTTTTCTCCAGTAATTCCACTCATTACCGGACACTAAATCAGGTCTAAAACCAGGTCTGAACCAGGTCTAAATTAGGTCTAAAACCAGGTCTAAAACCAGATCTAAACCAGATCTAAATTAGGTCTAAAACCAGGTCTAAACCAGATCTAAACCAGATCTAAATTAGGTCTAAAACCAGGTCTAAAACCAGATCTAAACCAGGTCTAAAACCAGGTCCAAACCAGGTCTAAACCAGGACTAAACCAGGACTAAACCAGGTCTCAAACAGGATTTAACAGGACTAAATCCTGCCGCATGGACTGTGCGTTTCCTCGTCTTTTATCAATAATATTTTTAATTTGGTTCAGTAAAGTCTGGGCTTTTTATTTTCTTTTAACAGATAAAACTTCTTATGTTACGATGTCCGAGTCTTTGCTTCTCTACAATAAACCAAGTAATCCAAAGTATTCAGATTACATTACTCACTTTAAGTCATTTAATGGATTATGTTACAAACTACATTTTGGTGTGTGTAATCTGTAATCTGTAGGGGATTACATTTTAAAAGTCACCTTCTCAACACTGGGAACCTGTGAACAATGTGAACTTTCATGGTCTTGTTTAGGAGTTTAATTTTCAACAAGGAGAGTAACTAAGTCTAACTTGAGTAGAACTTGAGTGGACCATTTCACACAGACGCATCAACACTCGTGAGGGTGAAGTGTGTACAGACCAAAGTCCAGGCTGATGATGGTGTCTCCGGGGGTGGGCGCCAGCTGTGCCAGGTCCTCGGGTTCTTCTTTGAGTTTGGTGAAGAGCGTGTCGCCCACGTCTCCGGCAGCGCCCGCTCCTCCGGACGAGAAGAAGCTGCTCATGTTGTGTGGTTTGAACAGGGCCTCGGTTTGCTCCAGCGAGAAGATCATGGACGCCTCCTCCACGTCACTGTGACAGACAAGAGGAACCTCAGACAGAAAACTCCAACTCAGGCTTCACATGGTTCAGAAGAAGAAGTGATTAAAATAAAATAAAATAAAATAGGGTGACCGGACGTCCTTATTTACCGGGACAGTCCCAATTTTGAGTTTCCCTGTGTCCCCTGTCCCAGCAGATTTATTCAAAACTAGGGACGGGCATTCGATGAAATTTTCTTAATCGATCGTCGGAAGAATTAACGATCGATTATCGATTAATCATTAACGTTTTTATATTAAAATGATCATCATTATTATTACTATCTGCACTAATCTGCATAAATAAATTCAACTTTACGACATATAAACATAACGACTCTAGAGCCACATCAGCTGTTTGACATTATAATGTGTTTAATTCAGTTTTGTTCAAATCTCACAGAAACAAAACTTAAAACCACATCACTAATTTACATAAACTAAGTGAAGATAAAACTCCAGCTCTTGTGTCGCTGATGTGGTTCAATTTCTGTTGGATTAAAAGACATGACTCAGGTGAATACAGGTCAGTGTGACCAGATTTGTGTTTGTCAAAACCAGGACAGCGTACGGGGGGAGGGGGGCGGGGCCTCGTCATCCACATTGAGCGACTCTCACCTGGAAAAACTTTTTCCCACTGGACACAGAAACATATGTGCTGCTTTATCCACTGTGCACATGGACTCACACTTGTCCCAACGCAACGGAAAGTGTGGAATTTCTTCTACAAATCCTGGTTAAATCCACATTTGTGCTTCGGTTCGTTACAGACTGACCCACTGTTTGTGTCTCGCTCCTTCTGATGCAGAGACACATGTACACACCTGTTTGGGCACGACACACACAAACATACATTCAGTTTGTCGATTAAAATGAACGTAATCGATGAAATTCTTAATGATCAATTATCGATTAATCGACTAATCATGCCCATCCCTATTCAAAACCACTGATTTGTCCCAGTTTTGTACAAGAAATATCCCAGGTGTCCTTATTTTTGACCAATCTGAAGCCTAACAACAGCAAAGAGTGGAATAAATAGTCATTTGTTTAGATAAAATACAGAAAAGCTGCTTAGAAACGACCAAAACACAAAGAAAATCATGACTCTAGTGACTCACCGAGTGCAGAACAACTGAACCCCTTATGTACTCGTTTCATAATTTTATTATTACTAACCAGCCCTTCGGTCAGAGATTTATGTGAAGTGTTTGTAAAAGTTCATGACTGAAGAAAATAAACCACTAGATAAACTAGACCGAGTTCCTGATAAAGTCGGAGTCACTAAACGCCTTCAGAAAACGGCTCCAAACACTCCTTTTCCCCAGAACCTACAGCCCCCACACATGACTGATCCTCACTTGTTTAGTCCTGTTTTACTTTACTGTGAAGTGTCCACGCTGTTTGCAAGACACTTAACCCATAAGAACCCAGACCCATTTTTCCTTAAAGGAAAATTATGTGTGATATACCACAGACCAAATGGACCACATAGAACACATTTCTGATGTTTTTTTTCAGGATAACACTTTTTCATACCAGAGATCTGGTTTGTTACATATATGTCACATTGGGCGTTAGTGGTAAACTTATTCCTTATTTCAAAATAAGTAAACCTGACAGTTATTACTGCTTGGTAACAGAAAATTACCTTTTTATTTACATTTCCACAACATATATCAAAGCTGTGACTTTAATAGCAAGGTTTAACATAAAATTCGTCTTCAGTTTTGCTTTGCTTCACAAAATATGCCAAATGTGCAAATATGCATCAAAATAAATAACACTGCCTATTTGGGGGCATTCGCAACAAGCTACCATAGGTACAGAGAACTGAACAACAGATCTAAAAACAGAAACTGCAAAAAAAAAAAAAAAAAAGCTCAAGAGAAATAGAACCCTTGTATCATCAGTACCATGTGTGAAACATTTTCTCAGTTCTTTTGTCTGTTAAGTATCTCTAGCCTTTTAGTCTAAGCCAGATGCTAAGACCTGTTTTTTTTCCTCAGTGAAGCAAAGATGGACATCACCTTTCTCACTGACAGTGGTGGTTGCATTGATTTTGCAGAGTTTGCAGTGGCCATGCCTGTCACATTTCACAGGCCAGTGTGCAACTTGTTCAGTACGAACATTATCTGGAAGTCCACCACAAACCCTCTTGGGCAGTGGTGGTGGTGGAGATGTGATGGTGTGCCAGAACAAGTAGATGTACCACCTTTGTGAACTCATGTGGTACTTGCACCTTGCAATGTATGCATAAAGGATGTCTACTCCTCACATGAGCGTGTTGTAGTCCTTCACAATGTGTGGCCTCCTAACACACTGTGAAGGAGTAAGACACCAATGTGTGGTGTTATGAACTTTCTGAAGTACTCCAGAGGACTAAGAAGATTGTCTGGATGTGTGACATGTGGTCCTTTGTGCATTCAGGGGTTTCAAAAGGCTTCTTCCTCTAAGAATTTTTTTTTTCTCCCTTGGACAGTTTCTTGTTTTTTTTTCCTAGGATGGATGTATTTTGGTGCCCTGAATTCACGTTTGGTTGTGGTACATCATCTGATGTACTTGATTCACTACTGTCTGAATCATCACACTCACTTGACTCGTCACTCTCCCTGTCTTGGCTATTGGGCTTATAAAGAGTGTTATCAGGGTTTTCATCTGAGCTATCGTCACATCGCTCAAACTCACTATCATCTCCCACGATGGCCTCTAGTGCATCCTGAAGAATGTTGCACTTGTTCTTTTTGCATACTACAAATTAAATAGAAATAAAAGAATATTTATTATTCATGGGATGGTATTTAGCTGGAAGAAAACAGCCCCACCGTCTTTTAAGCGTTGGCTGGAAGAAGTCATGTCCCATTTAAAGCTCGAACACTTGCGACACGCTGTAAATTTTTTATTTTGAATCTTATTTTGAATCTGAATAAGTAACAGCTCACTTACTTCATATTCTAAAGTTCCCTTAAATTTCCCTTTTTATTTTTCCTTTTTCCTTTTCTTTAATTTGATTTAGTGATAACACAAATGATAATTATTGTTGTGACTTTTGTTGTCATTATTGCTGTTGGTAATATTATTATTGTTATAATTACTATTATTATTTATTAATTTAATGTATATTATTATTATTTGTTATTAATCATTTTTTCTTCATTTATCTATTATTATTATTATTATTATTATTTATTTATTTATTTATTTGCTAATTTATATAACTAATATGACTTCTAGACATTGATATAATATCTTTTGATTTTTTTTTTTTTTTTTTTTTTTTTCTTTTGGAATTGCCTGCTGTCTTGTTGTTGTTTTTGTGTTACGTTTATATATGTTTAAACATTTATAAAAGTCAATAAAAAGAATTGAATAATAATAATATTGTGAAGTGTTTTGTGTTACTGTGAAAAAGTCTATATAAAACACATTTATGCTTCTTCTTATTATAATACACACTACTGGTCAGAAGTTTTGAAACAGCCTCATTTTTCCTGTTATTTATTGGAATTCAAGTCGTGCAAGTCCAATGAAGAACTTGAAATGGTGCAAAGGTAAAAACTGAACAGACAGAGGTTTAAAAAAAAAAGATAAATGATCGAAAACACAAGTCCGAGCTCTGCCAAAACCACCTCAGGAAAAAAAGAACAAGATGGTAAAACTTGAAAACCTGGCGTGTCCAGCAACAGCACAGTATCCAGACTTAAATCCATCGAGTTGAAGACAGAAAGTGCCACACATTTATGGAAACTTCAGCAACAGACTCGGGAAGAACTTTCGGAACAATATTTGATTTATGTTGCAAAAAGAACGAGCCACGAGTGTGTTCAGCTGTTCTATCTGCCAAAGATGGACACACACATCAATCAAAAGTTTAGAATATGTTTTGATCAACAGTAAACCATAAAAAAAATGGAAAAAGTGTGGTGTTTTAAAATTTTGACTGGTAGTGTGTATATATACCGTATTTTCCGCACTATAGGGAGCACTTAAAATCCTTCAATTTCATCCAAAAACGAGTGCGTGCCTTATAATCCAGAGCGTCTTATAACTGAACAAAGTTGAGTTATTGTGAACTCGTTAAACAAAGTTTGACTGACTTATCGAACTGTTGTGTTTCATTTAATGCGCCTTATAGTCCGGTGCGGTTTATATGTGAAAAAAAGTTCAAAAATAGACCATTCAATGACAGTGCGCCTTATAGAATAGAATAGAATAGAATCAAATTTATTTGTCATTCCAGTATAAAAAATACACAGAAACGAAACAATGCACTCAGGTCCAGGTCAACAGCAGCACAGATAACAATAAGAACAAATAGTTATAATAAGAATAAATAGTTATAACAAGAATAAAATAGTTAAAAATATTGTATGTCAACCCGCCCCCATTTTCTAAAGTGCGTTCCAAGTCAGTGCTGTTTTGTAGTGTTTTTTTCTGACAGAATTAATCTGTCTCATCAGGATAAAAACTGTTCCGTAGTCTCGTGGTCCTGGCCTGTAGGTGGCGCAATCCACAGCCCCTATAGTGACCGGGCTGTTAGTCGCTCTGGATTATGCGGCGCACTGTCATTAAATGGTCTATTTTCTGACTTTTTTCACAAATAAACGGCGTGGGACTTTAAAGGAAACCCAACAGTGTGATGGGTGAGTGGTTTTGTTTGTTTGTTCGTTCACGGTGACTCTGGGCTTTGTTTAGTTGTGGCGTGTAGGGAGGGTAGTGTCTGGGACCAGCGGATTGTCGGCGTGTTCGCAGTGACTCAGTTGTTCAGTCGTGTCTAGAAGCGGGACGTCGCGCTCTTCGCTTTTTTCGGTTCGTTCCTCCGTTCCGTTCCTCGTCGGCGTGGAGTGATGAGTGTGTCTGTGGGTGTGTTTCGCTGTGCGGTCGCTGTCTGCTCCGTGTGTGTTTGCAGTTTTGTAGTTTACTGAAGTCGTGCTGGGACACTCGAGTGGATTCGTGTATGGGGCGCTCTGGATTGTGGCGCACGGTCGTTTTTTGATGTGGTTAGAGGCTTAAGAGCGCGACTAATAGCCTGGAAAATACAGTATATATATTTTTTTACCATTGCTCCACCAAACCAGAGTGAACCATCTCCTGTTATTGCACCAAACCATTTGTGAATCATGTGTATTAAAGGTCCTACATTACACAACATCGTCTCCTGTGAGCTTCAAGTCATCTTCTAACGTCCTCCTCCTCCTCAAAAACAGACCTGGAGTTGTGTTTTGGTTTCATCACACGTTTGAGTAACAGCAATTCCAGGGCTGAAATCATCTAAATTATTCAGGTGAAGGTGTGTGGAGTTTAAAAACACAGTGGAGCACTTCCTGTATCACCATAAATAGTAGAACTCATCGTAAATGTGCAGGTTTTGTGAGTTAAACATGTGTGACTGAAACAAAACACAACTCCGGGTCTGTTTGTGACAAGGAAACGACTGTACATTAGAACTTAGTAGGGATGGGCATGATTAGTCGATTAATCGATAATTGATCATTAAGAATTTCATCGATCATGTTCATTTTAATCGACAAACCAAATGTATGTTGCTGTGTGTATCGTGACCAAACAGGTGTGTACATGTGTCTCTGCATCAGAAGGAGCGAGACACAAACAGTGGGTCAGTCTGTAACGAACCGAAGCACAAATGTGGATTTAACCAGGATTTGTAGAAGAAATTCCACACTTTCCGTTGCGTTGGGACAAGTGTGAGTCCATGTGCACAGTGGATAAAGCAGCACATATGTTTCTGTGTCCAGTGGGAAAAAGTTTTTCCAGGTGAGAGTCGCTCAATGTGGATGACGAGGCCCCGCCCCCCTCCCCCCGTACGCTGTCCTGGTTTTGACAAACACAAATCTGGTCACACTGACCTGTATTCACCTGAGTCATGTCTTTTAATCCAACACAAGTTGAACCACATCAGCGACACAAGAGCTGGAGTTTTATCTTCACTTAGTTTATGTAAATTAGTGATGTGGTTTTAAGTTTTGTTTCTGTGAGATTTGAACAAAACTGAATTAAACACATTATAATGTCAAACAGCTGATGTGGATCTAGAGTCGTTATGTTTATATGTCGTAAAGTTGAATTTATTTATGCAGATTAGTGCAGATAGTAATAATAATGATGATCATTTTAATATAAAAACGTTAATGATTAATCGATAATCGATCGTTAATTCTTCCGACGATCGATTAAGAAAATTTCATCGAATGCCCGTCCCTAGAACTTAGATCTGAAAATAGTGTGATGTGGGGCGTTCGTGCGACGTACCTGAGCACGTAGTTGACGCACACGATGCACTGGGGCTGCGAGTTGCGGCTGTTGTAGATCACCGTCCCCTGGGTCTCCATCCAGACGTAGCCCCCCCTCCTGGCCAGCATGCGGTACTGCCCGGTCACCGCCTGGCCCTTGGTACACACTGAGGGAAAAAAAAAGAAATTTCAACTTTTATCGGCTCATATACTCGTTTAATAATGTGATCCATATTCATAGGACAATAAGAAAGAAATGGGGGAAAGATTTGGGAGAGACATTCAGCAGTTTTTTTTTTTTTGAAAGTGGGAATCATGACGTTCTTTTTGTGTGAACCGATCTAACTTCTTCACCATCCCGTTTTATAAATAAATTAGATGTTTTACTCGACTCTGTGTCTTTTCTAGAGCAGCTTTTTCAGTTCCGAGTCCGACACTATAGTTTTAAAGCTGCATTGTGTAACTTTTCTAGTGGAGGGTCCATCAAACGCTTTTCTTTTCTTTCTTCTTGGAGATAGAGGTGTGCAAAAATATCAAAAATATCGATATATCGCATCATTTAATGTGATGATACAGTATCGATATCGTGGTCTGCTGTATCGATGTATCACCAAGAGTATTTTTTGGTTTATTTTACTAAATTATTTTGTTACAGCTACAGTTTTGTTGTTTGTTGAGAGGAAGGAAAACTGATATTTTCACTGTTTTGATGATTAAAATGTTTGTGTTTCATATGAAGTGGATTTAGACTTTATTTTGTATCGTATCGAACCAATTTGAAATATATATTGTATTGAATTGAAAGTGCACTGTATCGAGATACGTATCGTCTCATGGCGTATGTATCGAGGATCGTAACGTGCCATAGAGCGTTTGGACCAATCAGAGCGAGAGCTGCGAGACCGGAGCGAGTGCGGCTCAGAGTGAGGCGAGCCCAAGTCTGACAAAGAATGTTTAGGCGCTTAGGATTTAAAAATGTTCAAAAGTTTATGTGACAATAACCAAAATATCGTGATATCGTATCGTCAAAGTTCTCACAGTAATATCGTGGACCATCACAATATATCGAATTACAAGTGTCTTTGTTTAAATGAAGAGTTCTGGTGCAGCGATAACTTAAAAAAAAAAAAAAGGCAGAGAACTATACAGACCATGATCCTTTGCTCCATTTCAGTGCAGACGACAAGAAGAAAATAACAGTTCTAACACTTTTAAGTCTTAGTTCTTTGGATTAAGTCTTGTCAAGGTGTTTTAAGAGGTAAAAGAAGCATATTAACAGTTTTAGCTGTTTATCCTCCACAAAATATCACAATAAAAATCGTACCATGAGATGAATATAGAGGCTTTGCACCGTCACGTGACCCCTGTAGCAACGGTACCTACGCCGCCATGACACCGGACACACTATGTCACTGACTTCAGCAGCATCGGAGAAACATGGGCAGGTTTTGTTGTGTATTTGGTTGTTCTAGACGCTCTGAAAGGGATAAAAGATTCGTTTCTTCACTGTTCCTCTGGAAATGACTCAAACAAGGGAATTATCGAAAAAAAGACGCGGATTATGTCTAGAGAACAGAAACCATGAAGAGATTTCCTTTTGTACCATCAAGACACCCGAAGTTTCATCAAGGTATTTGCTATTTAAATTGTTTCATAGTTTATTTAATGACAGAAGCACATTTACTGAACTAAAATTTCATTTATTTATCCAGGAAAACCCGCAGTAGTTTACGATTCAACGAACCCACACTGGGCTCCTGTGATCAACATGACGCACGAGTCGAAGAGTCTGTGAGCCGAACCTCGAAAGAATCGGCCATGAAAAGATCCTCGCCAACGTTAGAAAGATCTGCTCACAAAAAACGATTAATTCTAGGAGACATAGTTGTGGATAAGCAAGACAATAAAGAAAACATGGTCCTACGACGAGTGACATGTTTATATGTGCTGGAAGATCCAGTTTCTACTGCCACTCACACTGCAAATGTTTTCTTTTTACATTTTAGTTCAGTAAATGTGCTTCTCTTTAAATAAACTATGAAACAATTTAAATAGCAAATACCTTGATGAAAGTGACGTGAGTGTGTCTTGATTGTACCACAGGAAATCTCTTCGTGGTTTATGTTCTCTAGCCATAATTCCCGTTTTTTTTCCTGATAATTCCCTTGTTTGATCCTGATGAGTCATTTCCAGAGGAACAGTGAAGAAACGAATCATTTTATCCCGTTCAGAGCGTCTAGAACAACCAAATACACAACAAAACCTGCCCATGTTTCTGCAGTGCTGCTGAAGTCAGTGACATAGTGTTGTCCGGTGTCATGGCGGCGTAGGTACCGTTGCTACAGGGGTCACGTGACGGTGCAAAGCCTCTATTGTGAAAATATCATACAGAGAGATTTGGATATTGTTACATCCCTAATCGTGCGCTTTCCCACCATATCGCAATAAATCATCGTACCGTGAGGTTCATACCATGACGATATCGTATTGTGAAGTCTGGATCGTTACAACCCTTGTGAAAATAGAAAAAAATCCTAAAAAATACAACCTTTGTGAAAGCTGGATGCCCTGTCAGAACACGGACAGTTTGAATTCCCCAAAAATGCATTGCAAACTCTTTCTAGGCCCACGTTCCCGGGAGCTGCAGTACCTGGAGCGGCCACTAGTCGGTCTGGAGTTGTTATCCAGTTTTTATTCTCGCTGCTCGGGTCCGGGGGCAGAGGCCTGTGCATGTTTGTGTGAGTGTAACGTGTGGACGCTACATGTGCTGCTGGACACTCTGGTCACGTTGGGCGTGAGAGCGGGACAGCCGTGCACACACACACAGTCCCACGCACACACACAGTCACACAGTCCCACGCACACACACACTCAGAGCTCACAGATACTGGGCTCTTTATCTCTGAGGAGCGAAGTCGGAGCAGAGGCCAGAGGACGGAAGAGGAGGACACGGGAGGACACTGCTCTCACACTAGAGCCACACTCACTCTCAACTGTCACTCTGGAACAAACGAACAGAGCAGCTGTAACGAGCCGACGAAGATCTGTCCTCGGCCTGTGACACGGTCCGTCATGACCTCACCACAAACACTTTGAGGGTCGTACTTGGGCTCAGAGTTAAGGTGGTTTTCTTCATATCTGACCGGTATAAGTTTCAGTGTGTCTATTAAGCACAAAATGTCATGATACTGATCTACGGAGCGGTGTGCCACAGGGATCTGTCCTCGGCCCCCTCCTGTTCTTACTGCACGGCCAAATAATAATCCAGCAGTTCACTGATTTGTTTTTGTTTTTACTGGTGAGGTTTTACTGATCATTTTTAAAGCTTGTTCAAGTTACATTTCAGAACTTTTAAGGAGCCCTCACGCAGCCTTAGATCTTCAGGCAGGTCTCGGTTTAGCTTGATTTTATTTCTTATTCATTTTTATTCTATTTATTTTTATTTACTTATTAGAATTCATTGGGTTGTTTGTCATTTTTATGCTTTTTGTATTGTTAGTTGCTGCTTGTACAGCACTTTGTAAACCTTGTTTTTAAAAATGCTTGAAGATTTTTTATTATTATTATTATTGTTGTGTCGTTTATCATCTGTTTGCCGATGATCTGCCGCTTTACTCTTCATCTAAGTCCTCTGAGGTCCACAAACTGAGCTACTGACCAGCTGCATGTCTCAGATAAAACAGTGGTTAAGTGACGACAGCCTCCAGGAAACAGAGACCCTCATCGTCGGCCCAGAAAGATAGAAAGAACCATCCCCTTGATCAACCAGAACTCAGGCCTGAGCTCCTCTGAAAAGTCCAAAATAAGAAACCTTGGATTGTCCCTCAAACGCTCAATTCAGATTTTTTGTGTGAAATCTGATGTTTTTGTCGAGGTCGTTCACATTTCCAGTTAAATGTGACTTGTATGTGACTCCAGTGTGAACATTAAACGGCCCAAAAGTGTCCCACATGTGACACTGGAGACACGACGACGTCAACCGCAGCGAGCGTCTCTGTGTTTACAGAAGTTGTCCAAACATGGACGCAGCATCGAGCACCTGGAGATTTTAAAGTTCCTCTCGTACCGGAGCCAGAACATGAACAACTGACTTGTTTTAAGGAGGAGATTGAGAAGGAGAAGGACGAGGTTTTTGGTCGTGGTGTTTTGTGGTTCAGTCCGTTGAAAGGAACGTGTGGATGTGGAGACGGAGCCAAGAGTGGTGAGTGGAGATGTGCTTCACTTCAGTCACACGGAGTTCATTAACAATTTTCATATGACGAGAAGAACGTTTGTGTACGTTTGTGTCTTGTTGATAACGTGTAGGTGGATGAATGCGCTTAGGCCGTTCAGACTGAAGTCACATGTCAAAAGATCAGATATGTATCAGTTTCAGGAGCACATATCCAAGTGTCCTGGGTCACATTTGAAAAAATCGGATCTGTGTCGTTCAGACTGTCATTAAAAGATCAGATACAGGAACATAGGGGTGAAAAAATCGGATTTGGGTCACTTCAGGCTGCAGACTGAACGCAGCTTTTAGACTTCAGCATCAGACTCTTCCCACCTGCAGCACGTCCAAACCCTCATGAACCGGACGGCCCACATCACACCTGCTTCACCGGCTCCCTGTTTTTGTGTTGTGTCCACTTTGAAATTCTTGTTTTGAACATGTGTGTGTGTACTTGTGTGTCTCTGTGTGTGTGTGTGTGTGTGTGTACGTGTGTGTGCTGCAGAGGCTCTAACTGTGTTACTGTCACATTTCCAGCGTGTGGCGCCCAGAGCAGAGTCCAGCTGGGCCCAGGGCAGACGTGCTCCTCTCTGCACAAACACACACACACACACAGTCACACACACACACACACACACACACACAGTCACACACACACACAGTCTCACACACACACACACACACACGGAGCTGGGTCCAGGGCAGACGTGCTCCTCTCTGCACAAACACAATCTAATAGAGCCACTTTAAATGCACGCCTCTGGTCTGCGCACAAACACGGGCGGACAGCAGGAGATTAAGGACACGCCGGGCCCGGGATCAGAGGGGACGTCGCCGTTCACTTCACGTTATTTCGTTCACATCATTTTAGACGTCACAATATAATCACACGGGTTTAAAAAGAGGCGCAGGGTTTAGACTTCTCTAACTCTAACACATCACATATTTACATCACCGCGTTCGTTTTCTTGTTTTAAAAATGTTATACTCACCAAAAACAGCGTATTATTAACAGGTTTTTCAGGTTTCACTTTCATTTTTGACACACTTGTTTTGTGTCATGTGCTTGTGGGCGGGGCCTTGTACTGCTGACCGTAAGGAGGGTTGGGATAGGGCCAGGGAGAGATCGCTAAATTACTCAAAAACGCTGGTATGTTCAGGTCTGTTTTTGATGAAGGGATAAAGTTATAACTTGGTAAAAGCAGGAATTTAGTTTAAACCTGCTGCTGCTTTACAGTTTTGTTGTGTTGTTGTCGTTTTGTGTTGTTACATTGCTGTGTTATTGTGTTACTGTATTGTTGTGTTGTCGCTTTGCTGTGTTGTTGTGTTATTGCGTTGCTGTGTTGTTTTGTTGAGGTGTTGTTGAGTTGTTGTGTTGCTGCAATGTTGTCGTTGTGCTGTGCTGTATGTACAGTTGTTGCGTTGTTGCTGTTGTGTACTGTGTGTACAATTGTTGTTGTGTTGTGTACGTACAGTTGTTGTGCTCATGTTATGTTATGTATGTATAGTTGTGTTGTTTGTTGTGTTGTGTACGTACAGTTGTTTTGTTGTGTCCGTACGCTTGTTGTGTTGTTGCTGTATATGTACAGTTGTTGCGTTGTTGTTGCGTTGTTGTAGTGTCATTCTTGTGTTGTCGTTGTTGTTGTTTTGTACATACATTGTTGTAGTGTTGTTGTGTTGTTGTTGTGTGTTGTTAGTTGTTGTATTGTGTATGTACAGTTGTGTACGTTGTGTTGTTGTTGTGTTGTTGTTGTTGTGTTGTTGTGTGTACGTACAGTTGTTATGTTGTTGTGTAGTTGTTATTGTATAGTTGTGTACGTACATGTTGTTGTTGTTGTTGTTGTTGTTGTTGTGTACGTACAGTTGTGTTGTGGTTGTATTGTTGTTGTGTTGTTGTGTACGTACAGTTGTGTTGTTGTTGTTGTTGTTGTTGTGTACGTACAGTTGTTGTTGTTGTGTTGTTGTGTACGTACAGTTGTGTTGTTGTTGTTGTTGTTGTGTTGTTGTGTACGTACAGTTGTGGTGGCTCCTGGTGACGCTGTCGGAGTCCAGCGCGTGGTAAAAGTCGTACACCGATCGACCAATCAGATCCTCCGGTGCGTAGCCCATCAGCTCTGTTACCCTGGAAACACACGTAAACAAACCAACACGTAAACAACAAGTCCATCGTTTATGATCGTATCAGTAAAACCCTAATTAGCCTAAAAAAAAAAAATAAGAAAAAAAAAATAAAAATAAAAACCCTAATTACATACTGTGTTCTCATTACAAGAAAAAAAAAACTGTAGTTGTGTTTTCATTTTTATTATTTTATTGACCATTATTTCACCAGGAGAGTCGCTCTGAGATAAATTTTTTTTTATTTTATTTGAGACTCTACTGAACATATTTTTAGTTCGAGGGAAACGGGAAGAAACCTACAGGCACAGGGAGAACATGCAAACTCCACACCGCCAATATTATTGTTGTATTTTACCGTTTCTTTTTCATTTTGATGTTGGATTAGTCTAAAAAAAACATGAGAAGTGAAAAGGACAAATATTCGGAAGCTATTTATAACGCGAAACGGAAATTCTCGAATAAACATCTCAAATATTTCATGTTTTATTAGTCAGCAAATCTGCACAGCGGCTCTAAAATCAGACTTTGGTGTCATCAGCTGAGCCGGAGTGAGTCATGGTTTTGTGTTTTTCAGATCTTCCTTCGCTGCAGTGACGAGGAGCCGTGAGGAAACCAGGACCCAGAGCCGTTTATGTAACAGAGACCTGAGGTTTCACCCGGTCGGCGCTCGGGTCTGTCACATGGACTCTGATCTGGTGTAACGCAGGGAAAAGTGGTTTTAATATGAGTCAAAAAGGTTTTAAATGACACTTTTAATCAATAAAGACAATCTCGTTTACCATAGTATGTAACTTTTTACTAAAAAATAAAGCAATTTAATAAGATAAGATAATACGATCAAATAAAAGCTTGTTTTTATCACACTAAAAACACACTTGCATACTCTGAGCGGGCTTGCATCTCCACAAACCTGACTCTTGTGTGACCTGGAGTTGGGCTTTCTTCTGCTTGTTTCCATGGAAAGTGGTTTTAAGAACCCGTCTGCGACCACTACAACCCACCCTGCGCCCCCTATATCTCATCTGCGCCCTCTACACCCTGTCTGCGCCACCTACACCCCGTCTGCACCACCTACACGCCCGTCTGCCCCTCTACACCCCGTCTGCACCCTCTACCCCCGTCTGCACCCCTCTACACCCCGTCTGCCCCCTCTACACCCCGTCTGCGCCCTCTACACCCCGTCTGCGCCACCTACACCCGTCTGCACCACCTACACCCCGTCTGGCCCCTCTACCCCCGTCTGCACCCTCTACACCCCGTCTGCCCCTCTACACCCCGTCTGCACCCTCTACACACCCCGTCTGCCCCCTCTACACCCCGTCTGCGCCCTCTACACCCCGTCTGCACCCTCTACACCCCGTCTGCCCCCTCTACAGCCCGTCTGCCCCTCTACAGCCCGTCTGCCCCCTCTACACCCCGTCTGCCCCTCTACACCCCGTCTGCACCCTCTACAGCCCGTCTGCACCCCCTACAGCCCGTCTGCCCCCTCTACACCCCGTCTGCCCCCTCTACACACCCCGTCTGCACCCTCTACAGCCCGTCTGCACCCCCTTACAACCCGTCTGCGCCCTCTACACCCCGTCTGCACCCTCTACACCCCGTCTGCCCCCTCTACACCCCGTCTGCCCCCTCTACACCCCGTCTGCGCTCCCTTACAAACCGTCTGCACCCTCTTGTTTGTGTAGTTAGTGACGAGGTTTATGCAACTATTACATTTAACCAAAGTGAAAAGGCCTGTTTTAAAGTGTGCTTCATGAAACCTTTGTCCTGCTGAGCGTGTGATAAGATTAGCCCTGTGTGCGTGTGTGTTGTGTAACCTGCGTGTGTGCGTATGTGTGTGTGTGTTGTGTAACCTGCGTGTGTGCGTATGTGTGTGTGCCACAGACCAACAATGAAACAGACTTTAGTGAGTTTTATTTCGGATCCCGGTCGGATTTCGTTGGTAGTTTTGAAGATTGTAGAAAAGTGATGAGGTCACACTTCCAGGCAGTTTCTCCTTCTGTTTACGTTTTACTTTGCCACAAAATATCGGAAAGATTAATTCCCAAATATGGAACCTGATCATTTCTATTAGTGACTGGACTCAGGACGGTGCAACATTACAACAAAAACAAGATTCACGTGAGCCGCCCTCGTCTCTATGAATAATATCGGCCTGTAGATTCTGTGATGTCGACTGAACTAGGGACGGGCTTTCGATTAAATTTTCTTAATCGATCGTCGGAAGAATTAACGATCGATTATCAATTAATCATTACAGTTTTTATATTAAAACTAAACTAAACTAGATCTAAACCAAGTCTAAACCAGGACTAAACCAGGTCTAAACCAGGACTAAAACCAGGTCTAAACCAGGACTAAAACCAGGTCTAAACCAGGACTAAACCAGGGCTAAACCAGGACTAAAACCAGGTCTAAACCAGGACTAAACCAGGTCTAAACCAGGACAAAAACCAGGTCTAAACCAGGGCTAAACCAGGACTAAAACCAGGTCTAAACCAGGACTAAACCAGGTCTAAACCAGGACAAAAACCAGGTCTAAACCAGGGCTAAACCAGGACTAAAACCAGGTCTAAACCAGGACTAAACCAGATCTAAACCAGGTCTAAACCAGGTCTAAACCAGGACTAAAACCAGGTCTAAACCAGGACTAAACTAGATCTAAACCAGGACTAAAACAGGATTTAACAGGACTAAATCCTGCCACGTGGACGTGTCTCCTCGTCTTCTATCAATAATATTTTTAATTTGGTTCAGGTTAAGTCTGGACTTTTTATTTTCTATTAGGAGACAAAACATCTTAAATGGTCACATTTTTCTATAGCTCTTTTCCACCAACAAGGAACCACTCACACATTCACACACCAGTGTACGCAAGGTGGGTTCAGTGTCTTGCCCAAGGACGCAACGACAACCTGTGGGTCAGTGGATCTGACCTCTCAACCTGTGATGTTTATGTCAAGAGCTGGAATTGAACCGCCAACCTTCAGATCAGTGGCTCCACCAACTGAACTACTGCCCCATACGTCTTACATCTTCTGTTACAATGTCCGAGTCTTTGCTTCTCTACAGAAAACCAAGTAATCCAAAGTATTCAGATTACATTACTCACTTTAAGTAATTTAATGGATTCTGTTACAAACTACATTTCCTGGTTTAGTCCTGGTTTAGTCCTGGTTTAGACCTGGTTAGTCCTGGTTCAGTCCTGGTTCAGTCCTGATTTAGTCCTGGTTTAGTCCTGGTTTAGTCCTGGTTCAGTCCTGGTTTAGACCTGGTTTAGTCCTGGTTTAGACCTGGTTTAGTCCTGGTTTAGTCCTGGTTCAGTCCTGGTTTAGTCCTGGTTCAGTCCTGGTTTAGTCCTGGTTTTAGTCCTGGTTTAGTCCTGGTTCAGTCCTGGTTTAGTCCTGGTTTTAGTCCTGGTTTAGACCTGGTTTAGTCCTGGTTTAGTCCTGGTTTAGTCCTGGTTTAGACCTGGTTTAGACTTGGTTTAGACTTGGTTTAGTCCTGGTTTAGACCTGGTTTAGACCTGGTTTTAGTCCTGGTTTAGTCCTGGTTTAGTCCTGGTTTAGACCTGGTTTAGACCTGGTTTAGTCCTGGTTCAGTCCTGGTTTAGTCCTGGTTTTAGTCCTGGTTTTAGTCCTGGTTTTAGACCTGGTTTAGTCCTGGTTTAGACCTGGTTTAGTCCTGGTTTATTCAGATTACATTACTCATTTTAAGTAATTTAATGGATTCTGTTACAAACTACATTTTGGGGTGTGTAATCTGTAATCTGTAGGGGATTACATTTTTAAAGTAAACTTCCCAACACTGTTTGTCTGTGCAGGTTTGAAATAAAAGAACTGAACCCGGCAGGTGCGTCAGGTTTGTGTTTGTCCCTCAGCGGCTCTGGTGGTTTGTGGGTAATAATCTGCAGACCGTGTGCTCCGTGGAGGGAACATGCCGTCGTGGACTTTCCTCCGGGTCGCCCCCTTCATCCTCACGCGTTACGTAAAGTGCAATAATCGTTCCGGTTTGTACAGCAGGTCCACGTGCCGTCAGCGCTCGGAAGGACCCGGGCGAAAGTAAACAAACGGAGCGGTTGAGCGACGGGACTAAGCTGACGGAGCCGCGCGCGCGTTGAGACGTTTCATTCAGAAGAGTTCATAACGACGGCGACGGGCTGCGGACTCTGGTTTATTTTGTGTTACGTAACCGTCCAGAGAACAGAGACGCTCAGAGTAACAGCCGCGTAAAACAGGATTAAGGCAATAATATGAATGAAGCAACAAAGAACAGACGTGTGTTATCAGGTTCTTTTTTCAGACCGAGAGTTTGTTTTCATCCTCAGAGTCACGTTACTGTGTCGTGTCGCCAGTGTTGGGAAGGTGACGTTTAAAATGTAATCCCCTACAGATTACAGATTACACACACCAAAATGTAGTTTATAACGGAATCTATTAAATGACTTAAAGTGAGTAATGTAATCTGAATACTTTGGATTACTTGATATCGTCGTGTTTTTTAAAAGTACATGAATGTAACAACCACATCCTGAGAATTCATGTTTGTTCTCTTCAAATTGGTCCTGGTTTAGACCTGGTTTAGACCTGGTTTTAGTCCTGGTTTAGTCCTGGTTTAGACCTGGTTTAGTCCTGGTTCAGTCCTGGTTTAGACCTGGTTTAGTCCTGGTTTAGACCTGGTTTTAGTCCTGGTTTAGTCCTGGTTTAGACCTGGTTTAGTCCTGGTTCAGTCCTGGTTTAGACCTGGTTTAGTCCTGGTTTAGTCCTGGTTTAGTCCTGGTTCAGTCCTGGTTCAGTCCTGGTTTAGTCCTGGTTTTAGTCCTGGTTTAGTCCTGGTTTAGACCTGGTTTAGTCCTGGTTCAGTCCTGGTTTAGACCTGGTTTAGTCTTGGTTCAGTCCTGGTTTAGTCCTGATTTAGACCTGGTTTAGACCTGGTTTAGTCCTGGTTCAGTCCTGGTTTAGTCCTGGTTTAGACCTGGTTTAGTCCTGGTTTAGTCCTGGTTTAGACCTGGTTTAGACCTGGTTTAGACCTGGTTTAGTCCTGGTTTAGTCCTGGTTTAGTCCTGGTTTAGCCCAAAATGTGAAAACAGTTAAATCCCTCTCTGTAATCCATTTATTTCAACAAAGTAACTGTAATCCAATTACCACTCACTGAAACTGAATACAGTTACTCATCATTTGTACTCTGATTACATCACTCTGGTACATGTAATCTGTTACTCCCCAACACTGATTGTTGCTCAGATGATTTAAACAGGTTTTGGCGCCGTCTTCTTCCCGGAGGAGGCGGGACGACACCTGCAGCCCCGCCTCCTCAGGACAGAACGTGACCAGAGCAACTGTCAGGGCTGAAAACAAACTGAAGGAAAAAAGTCTAAGAAGATCAATTATCTGAAGACCAAATGACACAACATGAAGGTCGTTCAGACCCGCAGCGTCAAGTCGTCCAGTTTATACGTCTGTATCTGGGGCGTCCTGTGTTTGTGCGGCGGCGCTCGAGACGTGCATCCAGGGCGTCGGATGCGCCGCGTCAACCAATCAGGGACGAGTATCCAGTGACGTAGCAACGTTATTATGTTAGAAATAGAAAGACCCAAGAACCAGAGAATAAATATATTCACCACAATCACCGAACCGATCACCAGGACTAAACCAGGACCTGACCAGGACTAACCCAGGACTAAACCAGGACAAAACCAGGACTAAACCAGGACAAAACCAGGACTAAACCAGGACTAAACCAGGTCTAAACCAGGACAAAACCAGGACTAAACCAGGACTAAACCAGGTCTAAACCAGGTCTAAACCAGGACAAAACCAGGACTGAATCAGGACTGAACCAGGACTAAACCAGGACTAAACCAGGACCTGACCAGGACCTGACCAGGACTAGACTAGAACTAGACCAGAACTAGACCAGGACTGAACCAGAACTAGAGTAGAACTAGACCAGAACTAGACCAGGACTGAACCATGATTAAAACAAGACTAAACCAGGATTTAACCAGGACAATAACCAAGACTAAACCAGAACTAAACCAGAACTAAAACAGGACAAAACCAGGACTTAACCAGGTCTAAACCAGGTCTAAACTAGGACTAAACCAGGATTTAACCAGGACTAAAACCAGGACTAAACCAGGATTTAACCAGGACTAAAACCAGATTTAAACCGGGACTAAACCAGGATTTAACCAGGACTAAAACCAGATTTAAACCGGGACTAAACCAGGATTTAACCAGGTCTAAACCAGGACTAAACTAAGACTAAACCAGAAGTAAAAGAGGACTAAAATCAGGTCTAAACCAGGACTAAAGCAGGATTTAACTAGGACTAAAACCAGATTTAAACCAGGACTAAACCAGGATTTAACCAGGTCTAAACCAGGACTAAACCAGGACTAAATCAGAAGAAAACCAGGACTAAACCAAGACTAAACCAGAACTAAACCAGAACTAAAACAGGACAAAACCAGAACTAAAACCAGGACTTAACCAGGTCTAAACCAAGACTAAACCAGAAGTAAAGCAGGACTAAAACCAGGTCTATACCAGGACTAAAGCAGGATTTAACCAGGACTAATACCAGATTTAAACCGGGACAAACCAGGACTAAACCAGAAGTAAAACAGGACTAAACCAGGATTAAACCCTGCCGCGCCGTTCGTAGCCACAAGTCATCAAAATATTGTCGGACATAAAACCATAAAACCATAAACCTGGTCCGAGAAGCTAAAAAGGTTGAGGACCATTGGCTTTTAACCTTTTAAGTTTCTTAATTATTTGTTGTTGTGTGTTTTTGTTGTTGTTATTTCTGTTATTATTATTATGACAAATTCTTATTATTCAAGATTAAATCATATCTTGATTTACGAACAAAATGGCAAAATAAAAACGGAACACAAATATAAACATTTTAAGACCAAAACTAGGAGCATGATACAGAGCGAGGGGCAATAATAGAAAGTGAAGTGGAGTGGATGGAGCCAGAAGCAGGTCCATGGTCACTTCCTGTTTGGAACGCGACGTTAGCAGGTTAAATTTATGTTTATTCTCTCCTGTGCCTCATTTACGTGGATTCAAACTCGTGTTAGGGTTACGGTTAGTTTGTGTGACGTGTGATAATCATCAGGGACTCGCTCAGACTCTGGGCCGCGGACGACCGGAGAAAAGGGAAAATCCAGACCTTCACTTTGACTCCATTTCTTTTCCTAATTAAGCGGCGACTTCCAAGAGAAACCAGGTCCTGCCAAGTCAAACTCCAATCAGAACACGGCAATCAACCCGTGATTATGTCCAGGCTCAAGGCGCTCGGGCCGGCGCTGCCTGTCCACCCCGCTGCACTCACACGTGCACTTCAGTATGTGTCCTCGTATGTGTCCTAATATGTGTCCTCGTATGTGTCCTCGTATGTGTCCTAATATGTGTCCTCGTATGTGTCCTAGTATGTGTCCTGATGTGTGTCCTCGTATGTGTCCTAATATGTGTCCTCGTATGTGTCCTAATATGTGTCCTCGTATGTGTCCTAGTATGTTTCCTAGTGTGTGTCTTAGTATGTGTCCTAGTATGTGTCCTCATATGTGTCCTCGTATGTGTCCTAATATGTGTCCTAGTATGTTTCCTAGTGTGTGTCTTAGTATGTGTCCTAGTATGTATGTGTCCTAGTATGTGTCCTAGTATGTGTCCTCCTAGTATGTGTCCGCATATGTGTCCTCGTATGTGTCCTAGTATGTGTCCTAGTATGTGTCCTAGTGTGTGTCCTCGTATGTGTCCTAGTATGTTTCCTAGTATGTTTCCTAGTGTGTGTCTTAGTATGTGTCCTAGTATGTGTCCTAGTATGTGTTTCCTAGTGTGTGTTAGTATGTGTCCTAGTATGTGTCCTAGTATGTTTCCTAGTATGTGTCCTAGTATGTTTCCTAGTGTGTGTCTTAGTATGTGTCCTAGTATGTTTCCTAGTATGTGTCCTAGTATGTGTCCTAGTATGTTTCCTAGTGTGTGTCTTAGTATGTGTCCTAGTATGTTTCCTAGTGTGTGTCCTAGTATGTGTCCTTGTATGTTTCCTAGTATGTGTCCTAGTATGTTCCTAGTGTGTGTCCTAGTATTTGTCCTAGAATGTGTCCTACAATGTGTCCTCGTATGTGTCCTAGTATGTTTTCTAGTATGTGTCCTAGTATGTTTCCTAGTATGTGTCCTAGTATATTTTCCTAGTACATGTCCTAGCATGTGTCCTAGTATGTGTCCTAGTATTTGTCCTAGAATGTGTCCTAGAATGTTGCCTTGTATGTTTCCTTTTGTTTCCAAGTATGTTTCCTTGTATGCTTCCTTGTATGCTTCCTAGAATGTTTCCTACTATGTTTTCTTGTATGCTTCCTAGTATGTTCCCTTGTATCCTTCCTAATATGTTCTCTAGTATGTTTCCTAGTATGTTCCCTTGTATGTTTATGTTTTCTTCTAAGCTTCCTAGTATATTTCCTTGTATCTTCCCTTGTATGTTTCCTTGTATGTTCCCTAGTATGCTCCTTAGTACGTTTATGTTTCCTTCAGTGGTTCCTAGTATCCTTCCTTGTATGTTCCTCCCTTGTATGTTCCCTAGTACGTTTCCTTGTATGTTCCCTAGTATGTTCCCTATGTTTCATCGCATGTTCCCGAGAATGTGTTCTAGTATGTTCCCTTGTATGTTTCCTAGTATGTCCCCTTGTATGTTTCCTTGTAAATTCCCTTGTATGCTTCCTTCTACATTCCCTTCTATGCTACCTAATATGTTCCTTTGTATATTTCCTTGTGTTTTCCAAGTATGTTTCCTTGTATGCTTCCTAGTATGTTTCATATGTTTCATTGCATGTTCCCTAGAATGTGTCCTTGCATGTTTCCTTGTATTCTTCTTAGTATGTTCCCTTGTATGCTTCCTAGTATGATTCCTTTTCTGTTTCCTAGTATGTTCCCTTGTATTCTTCCTCATATGTTCCCTTGTTTGCTTCCTAGTAGTTCCTTCTATGCTCCTCCGCCTGCTCCCTCACCTGTCCTCAAAACCTCACCTGTCCTCCTACGCTCCTCCCTGCTCCCTCACCTGCACTCGTACACCTCCCCTGCTCCCTCACCTGTCCTCGTACACCCTCCCCCTGCTCCCTCACCTGTCCTCGTACGCTCCTCCCCCTGCTCCCTCACCTGTCCTTGTACGCTCCTCCCTGCTCCTCACCTGTCCTTGTACGCTCCTCCCTGCTCCTCACCTGCCTCGTACACCCTCCCTGCTCCCTCACCTGTCCTCGTACACCCTCCCCTGCTCCCTCACCTGTCCTCATACACCCTCCCCTTCTCCCTCACCTGTCCTTGTACACTCCTCCCCCTGCTCCCTCACCTGTCCTTGTACACCCTCCCCCTGCTCCTCACCTGTCTCTACCTCCCTCACCTGTCCTGTACACTCCTCCCCCTGCTCACCTGTCCTTGTACACTCCCCCTGCTCCCTCACCTGTCCTTGTACACTCCTCCCCCTGCTCCCTCACCTGTCGTGGAAACCTCACCTGTCATGGAAACCTCACCTGTCCTCGTACACTCTTCCCCTGCGTTCCTCACCTGTCCTTGTAAGCTCCTCCTCCGCTCCCTCACCTGTCCTCGTACGCTCCTCACCTGTCGTGGAAACCTCACCTGTCGTCGCAGTAGGTGAACTTCATGTCCATGCTGTGTCTGCTCATGAAGGTCTTGCTGTCGAGGGGCGTGTCCATGTGGGAGGGGTGGGCGATGGGCTCGCACATGAGCACGGCGCAGGTCAGCGGGGGCTCTTTGAAGGCACACAGCGCGCGGGAGGGGGCGCTGTTGTACATCTTCAGCTGTCCCGTACAGTGCAGCACCTGGACACCACAGACCATGAGATCAGTCAGACAAACAATCACGAACTGTTCATTTTGTAATTAAGAGTTCAGTATTACAACAGCAGAGAAAGACAGAAGGAAAGAGAAAACTTAAAGCGCTCGTTCTTGTCCCTGCAGGGTTCAGTGTCTCTGGAAAAATGTTTTGAGCTCGTTTTGGTCAGGATCCCAGCTGCAAGATTTGTACTTGTTTTGAGCTTGAGGAAGGTGCCCAGAGGAAACCCACCCAGACAAGCCAGGGACCGAGCCCTTTTTGCTGTGAGGCGTGAGTGCTTACTACTCAGCCACAGCGCTGCCGTCAGAACTGAACCAATGACAAAGGATCAATAAAGTCTAAGTCTATGTTCAGACTGCAGGGCTTAACGCTCAATTTGAATTTTCTTGTGAAATCCGATGTTTTTGCGAGGTCGTTCACATTTCCAATTAAATGTTACTTGTATGTGACTCCAGTGTGAACATTAAATGCCCCAAAAGTGTCCTGCATGAGCATTCGAAGATACGACGACGTCAACGGCAGCGAGCGTGCTCTGTGTTTACAGAAGTCGCCTAAACATGGACGCAGCTTTGAGCACCTGGAGATTTTAAAGTTGCTGTTGTACTGGAGCCAGAACATGTACTGTATTTTCCGGGCTATAGGGTGCACTCAAAAGCCTCCAACCAGATCAAAAAACGACCGCGTGCCCCACAATCCAGAGCGCCCCATACACGAATCCACTCGGGTGTCCCAGCACGACTTCAGTAAACTACAAAGCAGCGCATGCAAACACACACGGAGCAGACAGCGACCGCACAGCGAAACACACCCACAGACACACTCATCACACCACGTCGACGAGGAACGGAAGAACGAACCGAAAAAGCGAGCGCAACGTGCCGCTTCTAGACACGACTGAACAACTGAGTCACTGCGAACACGCCGACAATCCGTTGGTCCCAGACACACCCTCCCTACACGCCACAACTGAACAAAGCCCAGAGTCACCGTGAACGAACAAACAAACAAAACCACTCACCCATCACACTGTTGGGTTTCATTTAAAGTCCCACGCCGTTTATTTGTGAAAAAAGTAAAAAAAAATAGACCATTCAATGACAGTGCATTTTATAATCCAGAGTGCCCTATAAACTATTTGTTTTAAGGAGGAGCTTGAGAAGGAGAAGGATGAGGTTTTTGGCTGTGGCGTTTTGTGGGGCAGCGGCAGCAAAGTCCGTAGAAAGGAACGTGTGGGTGCAGAGTCACAGTAAAGAGTGGAGGGATTGATCTGTGCTTCTCTGCTTCACTGACACGGAGTTCACAAACAATTTTTGTCTGACGAGGAGAAAGTTTGTGTACATTTGTGACGTGTAGGTCGGATGAATGCGCCTTGGCCGTTCAGGCTGAAGTCACATGCCAAAAGATCAGATATGTATCGGTTTTAGGAGCACATATCTAAGTGGTCTTGGTCGCATTTGAAAAAAATCAGATCTGTCATTAAGAGATCAGATACAGGAGCACAGGGCAAAAAAAGCAGATTTTAATCACTTCAGGCTGCAGGCTGAACGTAGCCGAAGTCTAATACGCTGGGTCTGTACAAACACATTACATAAAGAACATTATAAAGACTACACACATCATTCCGTGGTGCTTTTGGGAGATAGACTTGGCATTGGCCCAGTCCCAGTTCTACCCATTTGCCTCCACCGTCTTAAAGTGCCCATCTGATGTAAAATAACTCTTTTCACATTGTATCTTCTGCACATAAACAACCACAATTTTGGGTTTTGGAACATCCATTACACAATAGTTCTGAAATCTTACTGATTTCTTGGAGACAGTCACAGACCAGGAACTATGAAAGTCCGACTATTGCTCCTCCCCCCGCCCGTCCTGAGAAAGCACAGGCTCCGCCCTCCAAATGTGACGTAGACTCTGAGTGAGCCGCCCTTCCTCCGCCATCTCAGGGAGGGAGGGGGAGACAGACGTGACCCTGATAGAGGCAGGAATAAACTTTTATTCATCATGGAGATACAGCGCGTTCAGCCGCATGTGTTGGACCCAGAATCGGACGAGGACTTTGAGGAGCACGAAGCTCAAGCACCAAGTCCACATCAGCTGAACATTACTGATTGGTAAAGTTTTAATAAACACTAGTAGATAAATTTATTATATATACACTGCAGTGTAGAACAATGAGCTTATGCTGTCACTTTTGTTTAGATGTTCATGTGGGAATTGTCAGATGATGCAGAGTGGAGGCGGGGCGGAGGCGGAGGTGGTGGAGCAGGGCAGGGGGACGGGTACGAAGCGTTTTTTGCTATGTCAAACGTGTCATAGGTGTATCTGCCGCGTCATTGTTGTAGCAGCTTTAGTTCATTGTCACTTGGGAGGGTGGCAGAAATACACTGTAATTTGTAAAAAAAAAAAAAAAAAAAAAAAAAAAAACAACAACCGCCAAATCAATCTAAAAGGTTGTATGGAGGATTTTTGTTTGTTTGTTTGTTTCAAATTGTCAATGAAAGATCAAAATAGAATTATAAAGAAGAAGCAGCCTTGTTATTATGATGACCAAAAAAAAAAAAAAAAGAATGAAAATCCATCAACTGAAGTGTGTAGTGTAGTGAGGCCAGATAAACATCAGCCAATAGATAACAAGGCTACCTCTTTATCTATTGGCTGTTAGGTTGTCAATCAAACTCCCTACATTTCTAGCGTCGCTGACTTGTGGTGTGGTTTATGTTCGTGGTTCAAGTTTAGCGGTTCTTGACGTCTTTTTTGAACTGTAGCTCTCAGTTTGCACAAATTTTGTTTTAATGGCAGACAAGAATTCATGACCGGTTCGCCGCAAAAGAAAGTCAGTTTTTGACGTTGCTGAAAGAAGAAGAGAAGGGGAAAAGGTGCGAAGCGCAACATTTAAAAAAGGACAAACACTGCATTTCTCTTTCCTTGGAAAATCTTCTATACAACCTTAAACACTTCAGCGACAAATTCAAGGCCCACACATCACTCTTAGAAGGTAGAAAGCTCTGAAAAGTTGATTTTGCATGAGATGGGCCTTTTAAGCAGCAGTACAGGGCTTTAGTGAAGGACTGTCCTCCCTTCAAACTGAGTGTTCAGATGCACACTTCAAACCAAAAGTTGGAGGAGTTTGAAGAAACAAGAAAATGTGCTCACAAAATAAACTCCCAAACATCACCGGAGAATCATTTTAACAGGATTTCGGAGATTGAACTTTACTGTTTTTGTTCATTATGCTCCACGTGCTTCATGTGCTTCACCTCTGCTAGAGTTTACAAACTTTACCAAACACAGAGACTTTTACGAGCTGCAGTTTTTCACATTTATGGCAGGTCTATAAAACCACAGATTCCCAGAGATCTGCATGGTTTCTGAGCGAGGGAGAGGACAGAGGGGAAAGAGAGAAGCTGCAGTGAGCGGGAGAACCCCAGAGAGACGATGAACCTTCAGCCAGAATCAAACGCTTCGACAAAACTTCACAAACACGAGTGAATCTGGAGCCAAACGAGCTTCTGTGGTTGGATCGTCTTAAGTTTGGACAGAGGATTTTCAGGCTCAATGGTCCCGATCTCGACTCTTCTGGATTCAAACTTCCGTCTGACAAACTTACACCAGGGCGTCTTACCTTCCAGCTGGCTGATTTGAGGTTGACAGTGCGCCCCCTGTTGGTCACTGTGCACTTCATCCTCATGAAGAAGTCTCTCTCTGTGGTCAGCTCTTTGCCATTTTTGGAGAATCCACTGCCTGTAACAAGAAGTACACATTATTTTTTGTTATTATACAACAAATAAAAGAGGAAAGAAACATACATACATTTTAAGAAACTGATTTATTGTTTTTTTATTTGGAAAAAAAAGTTCTTTGTCTTTCTTTGCCACAGTGAACCTCCAAACAAAACCTAACACAATATAAAATTAAGCAAAATGAGGAGTTTAATCCCTGTTTGGCTCTTGTATTTTACTTCATTCATGCTTGTTTCATAAATATTACGGTGACCAGATTTTCAAAATAAAAAACTGGGACACCCCCATCCAACAACTCGCCCTTATGTGACAGATAATACTCCCTACAACTGTACAATGTAACAGATAATACGCCCTACAACTGTACAATGTAACAGATAATACTCCCTACAACTGCAAAACAACTCTCAATTAAGTAACAGATAATACTCCCTACAACTGTACAATGTAACAAATAATACTCCCTAAAACTGTGCAACAACTCGCTCTTATGTAACAGATAATACTCCCTACAACTGTACAACAACTCGCGCTTATGTAACAGATAATACTCCCTACAACTGTACAACAACTCGCTCTTATGTAACAGATAATACTCCCTACAACTGTACAACTCACCCTTATGTAACAGATAATACTCCCTACAACTGTACAACAACTCACCCTTATGTAACAGATAATACTCCCTACAACTGTACAACTCACCCTTATGTAACAAATAATACTCCCTACAACTGTACAACAACTCAGCCTTATGTAACAGATAATACTCCCTACAACTGTACAACAACTCGCGCTTATGTAACAGATAATACTCCCTACAACTGTACAACTCACCCTTATGTAACAGATAATACTCCCTACAACTGTACAACAACTCACCCTTATGTAACCGATAATACTCCCTACAACTGCACAACAACTCAGCCTTATGTAACCGATAATACTCCCTACAACTGCACAACAACTCAGCCTTATGTAACAGATAATACTCCCTACAACTGCACAACAACTCAGCCTTATGTAACAGATAATACTCCCTACAACTGTACAATGTAACAGATAATGCTCCCTACAACTGTACCCTGACCTGTATCTTGGTCTCGGTTTGGTCTCCGCGCAGACAGAACGGTTTAATGCCACACTGCGAGACATTCCAGACAGAGCAGTAACACGTGGAACACCCGGGTACACAATGCTCCTTTAAATGTTGACATAACACGGGGGCTTTAAACACACCGTGGTCCTGCGGCGCGTTTTGAGCCGCGTGTGTTTGGCTCCCGCTGATAACACTTACACAGTTTACATTAGATCATAAAAGTGTGCAGCAGAGTCCGGAGTCTTATCGGAGCGCTGGGCTGGCTCCGTCCGCCCCCCCTGTTATTCTTGCCCGTGTTATTTCAGGATCTTGGCTCTTATGTAACACGTATGTTCTCGTGTGCAGGGGCCGGGGCAGGACCGGGCCTGTTCCCACGGGTCGGGCAGGTGCCGGCCGTTTTAGACCGTGAACTTCAGCGTGGTCCCTATAGAAGTGTTTCCAGAGTGTACAGTGTGTCCCGACGCTCCAGAGCCTCAAAAACCCACCCATATGTAACAGATAATACTCCCTACAACTGTACAACAACTCGCGCTTATGTAACAGATAATACTCCCTACAACTGTACAGCAACTCGCGCTTATGTAACAGATAATACTCCCTACAACTGTGGAACAACTCAACCTTATGTCACAGATAATACTCCCTACAACTGGGGAACAAGTCGCCCTTATGTAACAGATAATACTCCCTACAACTGTGGAACAACTCAACCTTATGTCACAGATAATACTCCCTACAACTGGGGAACAAGTCGCCCTTATGTAACAGATAATACTCCCTACAACTCACCTTTATGTAACAGATAATACTCCCCACAACTGTACAACAACTCACCCTTATGTAACAGATAATGCTCCCTACAACTCAGCCTTATGTAACAGATAATACTCCCTACAACTCTACAGCAATTCACCCTTATGTAACAGATAATACTCCCCACAACTGTACAACAACTCACCCTTATGTAACAGATAATGCTCCCTACAACTCAGCCTTATGTAACAGATAATACTCCCTACAACTGTACAACAACTCACCCTTATGTCACAGATAATACTCCCTACAACTGTACAACAACTCAACCTTATGTCACAGATAATACTCCCCACAACTGTACAACAACTCACCCTTATGTAACAGATAATACTCCCTACAACTGTGCAACAACTCACCCTTATGTAACAGATAATACTCCCTACAACTCAGCCTTATGTAACAGATAATGCTCCCTACAACTCAGCCTTATGTAACAGATAATACTCCCCACAACTGTGCACCAACTCACCCTTATGTAACAGATAATACTCCCTACAACTGTGCAACAACTCACCCTTATGTAACAGATAATACTCCCTACAACTCAGCCTTATGTAACAGATAATACTCCCTACAACTGTACAACAACTCACTTTTATATCATTGTTACATTGTTTTCCTATGACCTCTTGTACAAAACTGAGATTTTATTTTTTATTTCTTATTTTTCTGTTTTATTTTGACTTGTACTTTTACATTTATATAATTTTGTTTTATTTCACACGTGTCTCTTTTCTTTTTGCCTCTTATTTAGAAATTATTATCACCATTTCTATTTTTTCTCTTTGTTTTTATATTATATTGTGATGTGTGAGCTCCTGTGTCCGAGTAATTTCCCTTGTGGATTAATAAAATTTTGTCGAAGTCGATGTCTAAGTCGTGTGTGTGTGTTTGTGTGTGTATTTGTGTGTGTGTGTGTGTGTGTCAGGACTGACCGGTCGTCTTGAGACTCAGATTCTCTCGTATTTCCTCGTGGTCACAGGGGTGAGTGAAGTCAAAGATACTGTGACCTGTGAGCTCCACCTACAGGCACAAAACAGAAAACAGACCAAAGAGAAACAAGTTAAAGACGACGTATTTGACTGTGAGGTGTTAACATAACCAGACTGACACCACCTCCTGCCTCCGCTCAGTTTCATTTCTCTGCAGTGACTAGTTCAGGAATCAGAATACACAAGACGATTTACAACAGGCATGTCCAAACTGCGGCCCGTGGGCCAAATGCGGCCCTCCAACAAGTTTTTCTTGGCCCTCAGGCTTCCAGGTGATTTGGCCCAAATTACCTTGCATCAATTGAAAATGAACTTTTTAAGTTTTTTTGAAAATATACTTTGATAAAGCAAATATTGAAGATTTAATGTGTGGTTTTGGGGATTTTAGAGTGAATAAAGACTGACGGCTCATAACAAAGTGTTAAACATGCACATATTGAAATTTTTCACTGTACTGAGCACCATCTGCGGCCCTCGATCGGCCCTCTGCTTCGTCTGTGTTTAGAAATGTGGCCCTTGATGAAAAAAGTTTGGACACCCCTGATTTACAAGAACCCTAGAAATTGTGGACCGCACATCGGCCAATCAGTGAAGAGCTGAACCAACCTGAGTTGCGACAGAAGACGACACAGGCCAGACATGTACAAACTATGGCCCGCGGACCAAATTTTCTTGCCCCTCAGGCTTCCAGGTGAACTGACTGAAATGACCTTGCCTCAATTAAAAGTTTACTTTTTACTGCAAGTTTTATGAAAGTCTGCCTACCTAATATTATAAATATTATAAATATTTAATATTTAGTGTGTGGTTTTCAGGATCTTAAGGACTGATGGCTCATTGTAACGTGTTAAAAGTGCAAATATTTCAGTTCTTCACAGTATTGAGCACCAGTCTACGGCCCTCGATCAGCCCTCTGCTTCGTCTCTGCTTGGATGTGAATTGATTGAATTTTTTTCTCTTATCGCCGAGCTTTACTGTAGACTGATTCATGAGCCGGTTTCAATTCGTGGAAACCGTCTGACCTCGCAGTGTAAGAATTTGTTCGCTCAACGGTAGACGGGTACTGGTATAATCGAGTTTCAGCTGACGTCATTGTTATTAAAAGCGTGCGTTGCATGCTTAGAAATATTTTGGTCGGAGGCAAGAAACACGGTAGCGTCAAACACAGTGCGTAACCTCGCGTATTTATCCCAGATAATGGTAAATTCCTGCTGCATTATCGGACGCACAAATAGAAGCATGGAAGAAGGAAAATGTCTTTTTCGTATTCTGAGTGAAAAGAACCACTAACGGTGAATTAAACGACTTTCAGACATTCGCAGAGCAAACGTAGAAGATCCTAACAAACCGTGGACTCCAACAAGTTCAACAACACATCCAGACTCTTGGAGGTTTTCATCTTTTCTGCTGTGAATGGCCCAGGAGTTTCCACCAAGTCATTGTGGATGTCGCCCAAGTGAATATTTGTCCAGGTAGTTGGCGATTCTGACCAGAAATTTGGTTTGTTCCACCTTTTGTCGGGGTTGAAAAGGGTGATTTGTCGTCCGTCGATGCTTTATGACCAATTTCTGGTCAAATGGTCTTGGGTCCTCTGCTGTTAGAGTGGATAAATAACCAGGATCAATACCCTTTACGTGCTTTCTCGCTCCGTCCGTCATGTTGAATTAGTGTTTCTTGCCGCCGACCAAATTAATTCCCAGCATGCAACGCACGCTTTTGTCAACAATGAAACTCGCCTATATTAAGCTTTTCCCAAACCCCTTAGGAAGAAGGACAATAACGTCTTTCCTCTTGATAAAATTCACCAAACATTCTCTTTGTTTTGGCTTTAAATCCTCGATCTCTGGAATCGTTGACAACACTGAATATCTGTCTCTTCGCTGATTGGCTGGTGCCCGAACTCGCACTTCCGGGGTTTTTGCGAACCATCTAGTGCAGGGGTGTCAAACCCATTTTGGTCCGGGGGCCGTATCCAACCTACTTTGATCCCAAAGGGGCCAGAAAAAAAAATAAAAAAAGGCATATAAACCCCAAAAATAGCAATAAGTTCAAATATTTGTGCAGAGAAACACAAATCTATTACAGAAATCTTTTTAAACTGATGAACTCTTTCTTTTACAAAATATTATGAACAATCTGAAACTTTAAGAAAAATGCAATTTCAACACAATGTTTTAACATTAAATTGTATGTAAAAAGGAATAAGTCTTTTTTTTTTTGAAAATCCTGCACTCGGCTCCACTTTTCTCATGTTGGACATTTTTCTGATGAGGGTGTCACGGTCAACAGTCAAAACGATCGTCCTTTAAGAGCGTTTGGAAAGAGACAAGTCTTCATTTGTGCTGCTCTGGTGGGAGGGGCCACGTACAGAGACGCTGGAGACGCTGCTGTGATAAACACCACAGAAAATACAATATTTTAAAAGAAAATATAATTAAAATATTTTAGTAGAAAATCAGCAGAGGGCCACATTAAAGGTCTTGGAGGGCTGGATCCGGCCCCCGGGCCGTATGTTTGACACCTGTGATCTAGTGTATTCTGATTCCTGACCTAGATGCTCGAGAGAAACGAGCCCTACTGACCGTCCACCAGAAAAGTTCCCCAATGCACCTTTAAAGTGTGGGAAGAGTGTCTCTGACAAACAAACACGGCGTCTTACTGAGATGAGCTGGGTCGTTTGTATGTGTTTGTATTGGATGTTTTGGTACAGTGCTTTTCATGCGGTTTAATTCTGTGTCAACACGGCGCGAGCACGCACAGAGCTGCTTTGTGACACATGAATTCTAAGCAGCCTTACAAAAACAGACGACTGCGCAGCCCATTAACCAGTGGAGATCCTCTGTGGTTATTAGCATGTGATTTTCTCTGGGGCCAGAAGACACAGAAGCTCGGAGGACTTACATGACCCGCGGAAATGGAACGGGGGAGGGCAATACTGAAAAACAAACTTAATGTATTACTTTATACTTTCCCAAAGACGATATCCATCAAACTTTAATCCAGGCTTGTCGTTCCAGAGTTAAAGATTGGACGTACTGCGGTTGTGTCTGCGATCGTCGTTCTAATCTTTGACACCCATGGATCATTCTGTTGTAATTTAGACATTTTAAATCTCAATATTGATCTGTAACGACGTCATAAAAGAAACAAGGATGGATAACTATTGATAACGGCACATGAGACGCATTTTTTTAATTTTTTATTTAGACCAAAATTATGACGCTGCCCTTTCCTACGAGTATCACCCATTAAGAACATCAAACTAAATTGACAAAAATAAGCGATTAAAACGGGGTGGACAATTATTTTTTCCATGGGGCCACAAGAGAAACAGAAAATACTGTGGGAGCTAAAATGTTTAACTCAATTCTGCATAATTGTAATTGTATTTCTTTATAAAAAAGCAGTAAATCTCATTGTTTTGACGGGCTGCTCAGACTGAGAAGTGAGGAAGCCCATTTCTGCCAGTAAATAAAAAATAAAAGCCCCACAGAAAGTCATAATTATGAATTTTAAATTTACAAGTTTAAAAGTCATAATTACAAGTTTAAAAGTCATAATTATGAGTTTAAAAGTCATAATTGTGAGTTTTAAAGTCATAATTACATGTTTAAAAATCATAATTGTGAGTCTTAAGGTCATAATTACAAATTTAAAGTCATAATTTAGAATTTTAAAGTCATAATTACAAGTTTAAAAGTCATAATTATGAGTTTTAAAGTTATGAGTTTAAATTTCCCCCTAATGAAGTGCTATACATCTTTTTTTCCTCTACAACCTTCTTATTTCACAATCTGCTAGTCTAATCTAGAAAAAAAAAGGAAAGAAAATTCACACTCTTTCATACAAAACACACACCAAACATGTATAAACAACTTTTTGGACATAAAGAATTTAGGGTCCTAGCTACAAAAGTGCAAAATATCAAGTGTCTAAGTAAACTAAAAAATATCCTTATTGCCTATTTATTGCTCAAAAAAAAGTGCAATGTCCCCATGACTTTTCTGGTGCCAGTCATGGAAACAGCTCCACATCACTTCCTGCATTTTTGAATTTCCAGATACATTTGTATTTGTACATTTTGAGTGAAATAAACTTTTCAAATAAAAATAACATGGGATGTGCAATTACGATTTGCGTTTGGCAGAAAACAAAGTTCCTATTGGACACTTGTTTTCCTTACGTCATAACACAACGTGTGACGAAGGATAATGCTGGAAATCTGCTCGGAAAGGAGAAAAAAGTTTCTGTCTTTTATAGTTGGAAAGTTATACACGGTTATAAAACATATTCCCGCGCATCGTAAACGATACCGTCGGTCTGGGAGGGTTAAGAACAAAAAGTTTTATTCCACTGGCAGATCATTTAATACTTATCAAGTGAAATTTACTCAGATCATAAATAAATAAAACTTCCTCCATTCCAGTCATTTTAACTTGGCTGGATTTATTTATTTTTTTGCAGTGGAGGGAGGTACTTATTGTAATTTCATAATCATAAAGTCAGTCAGTCAGTCCAGGCGTGTACCTGCGTGAGGCCCATGAACTTGTTGATGTTCTCGGACAGGAAGATCATGTCTCCGTCTGACGTTACCACGGTGATGAAGCCCTCCAGAGACTTGAGGTACAGACCGTCCATCTGCCCGTCCTCCGAGCTGCCGGGGTCTGAGTGGACACAGTAAACACCGGTTACATATGAATAACTCGCTCTTTCCATACGCTCAAACACACTCCACACGTAAACTTCCACCCCGTCCTCCCTCACACACTTTTCATCAGCCACAAAGGTGTCAGCAGTAATCTACAGAAGAAAAAACTTAGATATTTTACATTGGGCTGTCAAATTATCTCTTTAATTGCAATTAATTAATGAGTCGTGTTTAGCGTGTTATATTTTTGAATCCCGTTAAACTTATTTTTAATCTCTAATTTTACCGTTTCTGTACGCGAGTTGCGTTATTATAAAATCTGCTTTTATGTGTCACAGATCCACAGATTTTGGTTGGAGTTTTATATTTTTTTTCTGTGGAATGACTATACAGTTTGGTGAAAATAATGGCATATTGGCTGATGTCAAAAGTTGGGGGAATGGTTGACTGCCAATGAGGTAAAGATGAAAATATTGGAAAAAAGTGAAAATATTGCTAATTTTTTTTGCATTAAATTGAGCCAAAATCGAGTAAAAATGTGTTTTAAGAATTATTTTTTCACTGAATCTTGTCACCACATGTGTTCTTTGCATCTGAAATGCAAAAAACCCAAAACAAAACAAAAAACACACACACTTTTACTCAGCAGCTTTGAACCTGGCGTCAGACCTGTGTGATCCTGACTCTCTTTATTGATTTTATTTTTTATTTATTTAGGACTTTTTGAATTTTTATTGAGTTGTTTAATAATTTTTTATGCTTCATTCTATTTACAAGTTGTATGGAGGAGTTTTTTTAGTTTCAAATTGTCAATGAAAGTTCAAAATAGCTTTATAGACGCAGCAGCCAAAAAAAATCATGAGAATCCCTGAGCTGTGGACGTGTTGGAAGAGTTAAACATGAACAAACTCCCTTCGTTTCTGGTGCAGAATCTCTCAGTCGTCCAGGTAGAATCTACGGCAAAGTGGAAACTAATTTGTCAACTGGACAAATGTTTATTTAGGTTGGAAACATTTCGCAGCTCATCCAAACGGCTTCAGAAGTGAAGAAGCAACGAAACGTTTCCAACCTAAATAAACATTTGTCCAGTTGACAAGTTGAATTTCTCCTTTGCTGCGTTTCTAGTGGAACTGACTCACCGACACGCTGGGATTATGTGGTTTTTATTACTATTATTAGGTTTTTATTTGGTCATTTTGCAGAACTACAAAACAAAACATAAACTAAAACTCCATGGATCATGACCGAAAGGGTTTAAACTGAAGTCAAAAGTTCTTTTAACCTCAAACCCTGTTAAACAATGACAGAATTCCAAGAAAGAAAAGCAGAAAAAACAGCAACTTTGTGTTTAAAATTTCACTCATGACTTATTGTAAATATAAGAAACTAAAAATAAATTAAAATAAAGTAAATTTTATGCATAATTCATTCAGTCCAGAGCTTTATACTCTTTTTTTAAAGGCTCCTACAATGTTAGACTTTTTAAAAATCACTCAGATTGTTTCATAAACTTAACTCCTCGAACACAAATACAAACACTTTTTCATTTTTAGGTTTTAGTTTTCGTTTATGGTCGAACAAACCAACAATAACGACAAAGAAGGAACAAAATTCATCGACCACGATCGGACCAAAACAAAAGGCGATGTAAAAGAAAAGCAGGTGTTCAGTCAATAGTCGTAGTTTAGACCCTGTTTTAGACCTGGTTCAGACCCTGGTTCAGACCCTGGTTCAGACCTGTTTTTAGACCTGGTTTAGTCTTGGTTAAATCCTGGTTTTGTTCTGGTTTAGTTCTGTTTCAGATCTGTTTTAGACCTGTTTTTAGACCTGGTTTGGTCCTGCTTTAGACCCGGTTTTAGACCCAGTATTAGGCCCGGTTTTAAACCTGTTTCAGACCTGTTTTAAATCTGGTTTAGACCTGTTTTAGACTCTGTTTTAGACCTGGTTTAGACCTGTTTTAGATCCTGTTTTAGACCTGGTTTAGACCTGTTTTAGACCTGGTTTAGACCTGTTTAGACCTGTTTAGACCCTGTTTTAGACCTGTTTTAGACCCTGTTTTAGACCTGTTTTAGACCCTGGTTTAGACCTGCTTTAGACCCTGGTTTAGACCTGGTTTAGACCATGTTTTAGACCTGGTTTAGACCCTGTTTTAGACCTGGTTTAGAACTGTTTTAGAACTGTTTTTAGACCCAGTTTTAAACCCATTTCAGACCTGTTTTAGACCTGGTTTGGTCCTGTTTTAGACCCTGTTTTAGATCTGGTTTAGGCATGTTTTAGACCTGGTTTAGTTCTGGTTTAGAGATGCGTATGGGAGCACTGGTACCAAACGACCCATGGCCCAGTATCGGTCTCTGGCTCCGGTGTTGGGGGACCAGTGGTTCAGACCTCTGCACACATGTCCTGAAATGTCCCTGTGTGTGTCAGATGCCCTCCCTGAGCCTCCGTGGCGTCTTATTCTCAAACATGTTCTGGAAAAGTCTGGGATTCCGGCGTCCGTTCGGCCTCTGAGTTTAATCTCCTTGGGGTTTTTAAAATATCCACTGTGAACTGAAACATGATGTCCAAAAATAATCCTAAAAGCCAATTTCAATATGTGATTTGTTAATTCAGCAGGAAGAAGTAGCTCTGGTTTGTTTTGGCCTCGATCCAGAAGACCTCGAGAAACAGGCCTGAGAGGAAAACACAGATCTGAGAATGGTCCAAAAAAGAAGAAGAAGAAGAAGAAGTCGTCGTCATCTGTGGAGTTAGAGTCACTTTTATTTCTGCAGAATCTTCTGGTCAGACGTGTGGTGACGATATGGGGCGGTATTTTCTAACCAAAACAATCTGTAAACCGGAACCGACCTCCTGAGACTCAAACCTGAACCTCGTCTGTTTATATAAATGGAAATAGTAACCCGCTAACCCACTCGCCGCCGCGTTCCAAACAGGAAGTGAGCAAGAGTGCGCTCCAAGCTCTCCGGACATTCTTAAAATGTTCGTATTAACCCGCTCGACATGATCCTGGTGTTTTTATTTAGCTTTTTTGTCTTCAAATAAATCCCTATTCCATGGAACTCTGCTCCAAATCCGTCACTATAACTGCAAGCCTCGATGAGCTTCATTTGACTGGAACCGAACGCTGTGGGCGACGTCACACTCTCTTATTCCACTTCTTTGTCTGAACTAACTTTATTTATATTTCACATTTTACCAACACAAAGTTTCCAAAGTGCAGCACAGGGTCGGCACGATAAAAATTAACACATTAAATAAATAAAATAATCATAATTTAAATAAATAAATAAATAAATAAGCAAGACAATAAACATAAAAAATTTAAAAAAATAAATAAATAAAAATAAAATAAAATTAGCAAATAGAAAAACAGCAAAAAAAATTAAAAATCATTAACCAACAAAAAAATTATTTAAAAAAATTATGAATAAAAATAATTTAATTCTGAATAAAAATTAATTTCGCTTTAAAAAACAAACTAAAAATAAACATGTAAACACTTAATTCCTGATGAAAATAATTATTAAAAATTAAACTTAATTCCAAAGTAAATGAGTGGTTTATTCTGATTTTAAAGCTGAATTCATTTATTCCTCGTTCATGTAAACTTTATTATACTTAGAACTAATTTATCCGCAACTATCAAGGGAAGAAAGACAAACGCTTAAAGGAAACAACGACGATGACACATTAGTGACACACTGAACAAAAATAACATTATGGTCCTAGAGATGTTTCGCATTCGAACTGCCTTTACTAATATCGACATCATGAAATACATTTTTAATTTTAACTGTAGAATCAGTCTGAGTGAGCAAGTTCCTTCTCTTTTATTCATGACCATAACATTAGTTTTGTTCATTAGTTCACTAATGCGTCGTCATTTTCCTTTAAAGGGACAGTTGGGAATTTTGGACATAGGACCTCATTTCCTCGTGAGTCAGAGTGTTGGAGACGAGTGGAGACACTTTTTGTAAATGTCTGTGTCGATAGAATAATGTTTGAAATAAAACTAAGCTTGTATCACATGAATCATCAACTGTTGAGGGACTATTTTCTCATATATCAGTCCGCCGCTGCCGAGTTTTCTATCAGGAAGTACAACTCACTGCTACTGTTCAGACAGAAATCCTTCAAATACAAGGTTGGTTTTATTTCAAACATTATTCTACGGACACAGACATTCACATGGACAGTCTGATGTAATAATAGATTTGTTTCAGGTGTTTTGTGGAGCGGGTAAATCTGTTTTTAGCGGAAGGCTAACTATGGCCATTGACATGCACTAGCCTAGCACCAGCGACCTCTGCAAATACAAGGACTGGATGGAATATTTAAAAAAGTATCTCCACACGTCTCCAACACTCTGGCTCACAAGGAAATTAGACACTATGTCCAAAATCAAGGACTGTCCCTTTAACAGAAAAATGCCCCTGTCTGATCTGAACGTCAAAATGCCAAAATGTGGTTTTTAAAATCCACACACCTTCACTGGAATCATCTGGACAATTTCAGTCCTGGAATTACAAACCTCGACTGAAACTGAAGGTAAAAGGAGCTGTTCACGAGCGTCGGTTTTGTGTATCATCAAACCTTTAAGACGTATTTTCCATAGATTGTGTTTTCCATTTTCTTGTTGTTTTAATATTTTACGACTGTTTGTACGTTCAGAGTTTTTTTGTGTTTTTGTGCTCAGAGTTTTTGTGCGTTCAGAGTTTTGCAGATTTGGGGGGTGATTGTGTTGGAGTGTGTGAACAAAGCGGAGCAGGAGCCACAGGGTGGAGGGGAAGTGTGAGGGCCCCGTGTGCTTCCCCCTGATAAGAGCTCCCAAGACTCCCGGAGAGAGCCCGAAGTCAGGGGCCAGAACCAGAACCAGGGGCCAGAACCAGAACCAAGGGCCAGAACCAGAACCAAGGGCCAGAACCAGAGTCAGGGGCCAGAACCAGCGGCAGAGTCAGGGGCCAAACCAGAGGCAAGAATCAGTGGGCAGAGTCAAGGGTTAAAGACAGGAACCAGAGT